TCTAACGGTAGACTCGAACAATTCTCTTTCGCTTTCTCTCAGGTCCAAGAGGACGCCATAATTCACATGATTTTCAGGTTTGTGGCTTTTATATGGTTTGCAGATCAACTTTCTACCTGAAACATGTTTATAAAACTTGTTTGGCCTGGTGCTTTTGTTCACGATCGTTGACGAACGGATGCTTTATCTAAGTGTAGGTTGTTTGGCAAGACAATGTCGATCCTGATAATATGACTTATGAGGTTAGTTCATTTGGAAAAAATTACTTGTTTTACGGAACTTGCTTCAACAAAAGGGTACCGACACCCGAAACCGACACAATGTATTAAAATATCCATAGCTACATAGGCTGAAATAAGTTTTCTGTTGGGTAACTAGTTTGAAAAAGTTGTAGGGGCCACTATATAGGCCTGCTGTACATTTTTCTAAGTAATATTTAACAACTTTCATCCTGTATGGCCTCTGATTCTCTTGAACTATCTGTAATTTTTTACAATACTTGGATAAAAATCTAATTATATTTCGAGTTCAGGAATTACTAGAGTTGGGTGAGACAGTTGGAACTCAAAGTCGAGGTCTTTCACAGGAATTGATTGCTTTGCTTCCGATATCGAAGTACAAATATAGTTTCTTCTCGAGGAAAAAATCTCGTAGAGAGAGGTATGTGATAGTTCATAATGTTTCTTTCCTTGACGTTTATTTGTCTCTGAGATTGACTCGTAATCGTGCTATCCTCATTATGTCACGTACTTCCGAAGATCGCTGAATGAACGTTTTGGACTCGATGCTTTTCTATTATATCATACCTGCATCTGATTGAGAGTCCAGTTTGTTCCTGTCTACTTCTTTGAATCTCATATACTTTTCTGGATGTAGATGTGTGATATGCCAAATGGAATATAAACGAGGCGATCGGCGGATCACTCTGCCATGCAAACATATCTACCATGCTGGTTGTGGAACCAAATGGCTCAGCATCAACAAGGTATTACTATTAGTTTAGTTAGACTGAATGTGTGCTGTCATTGTTGACTGATATAACTCGAGACCTCTGTTCCGTTACAGCTTTGCCTAGAACTTCCAAAGCTTTTACCCGTAGACTTTGAACCCAATTCTCATCCTCCTTTTAAAACATATCACCCCGCTCTTTTCTCATTCATATGCATCTCAAAACCGACCAAGCAAGGGTTAACGTTGTGTAGTCGGGAATAGAGTAGTAACAGCTAATAGCTAGCCTATTCACTCAACCTTCCTTAAAGGGCTTCCTTTTTTCATTTCCTTGATTTGTCTATTAGGTAAATTTGGCTTCGCATAATAACCACATTCATTCCGTAGCTAAAACGGGTATTCGAAGGTAAACTTTTAGGTGTCGTTTAGCATAACAAAAAGTGTAGCATCGAATACCCGTGTTATGAATGAGTGAGTGAGTAATAACGTTATGGTTTTGCAGGCTTGCCCCATATGTTACACAGAGGTGTTTGGTGATACTTCAAAACACTGAATGAGTGTTGATTGTTAGAGGAAAGAAGAAGAAGAAGAACATAAATTTGGGCACTTCAGTAATCTCCCACTGCTGAAGTGAATAAAACATCAGTTGCTTGCTTGTATTAGCTAGCTTGTATCATCAGTGTTTGTTGTTTGGATGTGTAAGGATACTATGAATCCTTGGCAGCCTCAAGAGGAGGGGCAAAATGGGAAAGGGCTTGTTTGTAAGTTTAGAAATGGAAATAACTCTATATTTTATAGGAGTTTTGTAATTCATAGTCCCCTTTTTAAAAATATTGAATGATTCCCGGTTACGACTTTTGGATTCGATCCTCTGACCTTTTATCCATATTCATTGTTTATACATTAATAAAGTTAGAGATATTCATTGGGCGGGGCAAGGACAAAAAAGTCTTTTTCATTCCTGTCCTCAGCCTCGAAATTTCTATTTATTTTTGTAAGGATCACGTCAGGAAATGGGAGTTTTTTCTTATTTTTTTAAAAGTATTTATTTTAAATAATTCTTATTTTGAAAGATTTAAAAGTTCTAATAATTTAATAATAGATTTAAAAGTCCTCTACTCCCTCTTTTAAATATATATTTGTGGTAATAGATACGTGGTTAAGTTGACCCAACAAAACCAACAAAATAATCTGACTGCCCAACTTTTATAGTTTGAGTTAGGTAATTCAAGTTAAGTTACTGAGTCATATGAACACCCCTACATAATAGAAATTAAGATCGTACTCAAATTTTACTAATTAAATTAGAATAATTTGCACTTTCTCGTACTAGTGCTCGGGGGCCACAAGCCTCTAACGACCTCGATTTGTGTTTAAGCACGAGATGCCTTACCCACCAAACTCGAGCTACCTTTGTTGTACCTTTTTTTTTTCCACATTAGTACATTTGACTCAAAAATATTGTCCCAAGACAAAGCATATAGAGAAAAGAAGTTGATCTCAAAAACATTCCAATACATAGATTTGTAGTAACAAAAGGACCAAACATGAGTAGCAACAAATATATGCAAATAAAAACTTACCAAAAATACAAACTTCTTAGAAATTTTGGATTTTCCTATTTAAGAAACAATATATTCCATTTCTTCTACACCAACTATATAAAAATGGAAAAAAAAAAAAAAAAAAATTATGGGTGGTCCATTTTTTTGCATTTTCCTCTAAAGAATTTGATAATTTGAGCTGAGCGGGAGAGCTGATACACGTATATTGGACAAAGCAAACAGAACCCAAACAACAGCCTCATAGTTTGGTTCGTTATGTATTGTTGTCAGCCTCACGAATTTAAAACCCGTCTCCCGGGGAGAGAGGTTTCCATACCCTTATAAGGAATGCTTCGTTCTCCTCTTCAATTGATGTGAGATCTCACAATCCACCTCCTTTGGAGGCCCAACATCCTCGTTGGTACATCACTTAGTGACTGGCTTTGATACCATTTATAATAGCCAAAATCCACCACTAGTAGATATTGTCTTTTTTGGCTTGTTACATATCGTCATCAAACTCACGGTTTTAAAATGTCTTTTTATGTATTGAGTCTAGTCCTACTCTAACCAGTATCACACACCAGCTAATGATTAGCTCTAATACTATTTGTAACCATACAAGCCTACCACTAGTCAATATTGTCTACTTTTGCCCATTACGTATCGTTGTCAACCTCAGCACAATCTGAGATTTCACAATTACCGTCATATAGAATCGTAGTCAATTGAAGGGTCATGAATTTTCTTCTACAACCATCATATTGACAGATAATATAATCTCTATCTCCAGCCCCGTTTATGTAATAGGGAGAATCTCCCGCAACGTTTAGAGAATCTATGTTGAATTGTATTTTCGAATCAGCAACGTTTATTATTTATTTATTTTTTAAGTAAGAATCAAACAATTATATGGTGATCTAAAAATTTCATCACATTATAATATTGGAAAAGGAAAAATAAATTTAAAAAAAAAAAAAGCATGGGGAAACTACACTTAGTGCATAGACATTGGTGGATTGGTGGACTCAATTATTGAATATTATTTTGCTTTGAATAAACAACATTATCTAATATTTTAATGTGGGGAGTGCTTGATTATATTTAATTAATTATTTTATTCTTTGAATTATGCACCCTCGTTAAATTAATTAATTAGGGTTTACTCCTAATATATAGGGCCAGCTGGCATTGTCACATTCCCCAAGGTCGTATCTTAATAAACTTTATTTTATATTATGTGATTTATTTATAATAATGTTCTAAACATTATTTTTACGTATAATGAGAAAAATACCATTTCCAAACATATAATTGTTCCCTTGACTTTTCATTTATGAATTTTTAGTACAATATAAAAATATAACTTTTTTTAAATATATAAAAATATAGAATATGTAATTAAATATTATTTTTTTTGAGTTGCGTGATTTACTAAAAAGTAATTATATATTTAAAAAAGACTTTATAATATTTTAAATTAGATTAACTAAGAGGACAAAAGAAACAAATGTGCATCTAGTCACTTTGGTTAAGATTTAAACCGTGACTGAAAAGAAATGTGCATCTAGTTATTTTATCTTCATGATCGCTCTCATTTAGATGTAGTTTTGGTTCATTCATGTGATGTCCCACATTGGTTGGGAGGAGAACAAAACACCCTTCATAAGTGTGTGGAAACCTTCTCCTAGCAGATAAGTTTTAAAGCCTTGAGGGGAAGCAGGGAAGCCTTAAAGAGAAAGTCTAAGGACAATATCTGCTAGTGGTAGATCTGGACCATTACAAATGGTACAGAGCCAGACACCGGACCATGCAGCGAGGAGGTTGTCCCCAAAGGGGGTACACATGAGGTAATGTGCCAGTAAGAACGTTGGCTCCAAAAGGGGGTGGATTTGGCGGGGATCCCACGTTGATTGGAGGAAGGAAAGAATGTCAGCGAGGATGCTGGACCCTGAAGGAGGGTGGATAAAGAATGTCAGCGAGGATGCTGGACCCTGAAGGAGGGTGGATAAAGAATGTCAGCGAGGATGCTGGACCCTGAAGGAGGGTGGTAACGATTTTAATCTTGGTAACGATGGTAGATATTAAATTTGATTAAGATAATATTGTGTTTTAAGAAAATAAATCCTATTTTTAAAAATTATTATTTATCAGATAAAGGAATAAAAAAACGACAGATATTAATGGAGATTAAAACATAGATATTAAATGATTTTTGTAGGAAATAAATTTCTTAATATAATTCCACATCGAGTTTATTTGATATTATGACCGAAAACGGAATCGATCTTGTGGTCCATTCACGGAGCCCCACGTGGACCACTCTCACATACTTGCTGACGTGGAACCAACCCAGTCATTCCTTTTTATCCAATAAATTCCCTTCCCGTAAATACCCCTGAGAAGGAAGGGTAGTTTTGTAATTTTATCACTACGCAAACATACACAATCTGAGGGCCTATATTCTTGGACGCTCTCTTTACTTACCATTGGTTTAATTTTAGTGAACAGAAAAGAAAGCAAAAACGCCATTTGATTTTCATTTCACTTTTTTTTTTCTCTCTCTCTCTCTCTCGAATCTCCCCGCCGTGTCGGGGAATTTGTGATTGGTTTTCCCGGCCGCCGCTGTAGCTGTGGAGAGAGGTGTGTATTTTTATTGCTAGACAGGAAATTATGAGATTTTGGTATGTTGTGTTTGTTGTTGTTGTTTCATTTTGAATTGTGAATCTTTATTGTTCGGTGTTGATTTGATGTTTTTTTTTTCGTGTTCACCCGTGGAAAGATTTGGTGCGGTTTGATTTGATAGTTGTTGTTTTTTCTTAACGTTCACGAATGGAGTGAGTGAGTTTTCGTTCCTTTTTTTTTTTTTTTTTTTTTTTTAAAGATGATTTGCACGTGAATGAGGCTCGGAATTTTTTGCGGTGCTCTGCTCTCTGCTTTTCTTTTTACGGTCATCTGTTCTTGACTGGATTTGAGTTGAATCGAGTTCTGTTTGTTTCGTTGTTTATGGATCAGGTGGTCCACTTGAAGTTGTGTTTCTACGCGCTTCGTTAGTGAGAGAATTTGATGGTTTGTGACGTAATTTTGTGTCGGATGAAACAGAGTTTTTTTGTGGATTTGATTGCATTGGTGCTTTTTTGGCATTTTGTTTTGGTTGGTGCCGACTGAAAATTTGGCATAATTGAAGAACTGAAGAAGAAGAAGAATTAGAACTTGTTTCCGAAAGTTTCGTATTGTTTTAAGGTCTGTTACTGTTAGTCTAGTTGAAGGCGAGCTGGAGGAAGGAGGACGAAAAATGGAGGCGGATTTTCAGCAGCAGCAGCGTATTCTCCATGAACATCATCAGCAGCAATCCCAGATGAGTTCTGGATTGACACGATACCGTTCTGCGCCGAGTTCGTATTTCAGAAGACTGACGGATAGAGAATTCTGTGATCAGTTTTTCAATCGACCTTCGAGCCCCGAAACTGAACAGATTTTCGCGCAGTTTATGACAAGCGGCAGCGCTGGTGACGGAGGCGGCGGTCCAGTATGTTCATCTCAGAACCTTGACGAGTCTCAGAAGAACGCTCAGACTGGAGAAGTGTTTATAACTACTGAAGCAAATCAACAAACACCTTATGTGAATAACGAAACAAGAGCTATCCACCAGCAGCCGAGCATTGTCAACAGCAATTTCCTCCCGGCTTCATCAACTCCATCAAGTTACCATCAGAATTTGATGAAACCTCCACTTCCAAATCAGAATTTGATTCCAGAAGCGGAGGGATCTGGTTCGATGGGAGTTGATCTGAAGCCTCAGATAAGAACAGATGGTGGAAGATCTTCGAATCTCATTCGGCAAAGTAGCTCTCCTGCTGGACTATTCGACTACATAAATATCAATGCTAGCGGTAGTGTTATCTTTTCACCTTAATGAATGGAAAATTCTAGTAAAATTGAAGTTTTCTTCTCTGGTCTCAGATTCTGATTAGGGTTAAAAAAAAATTGATTTATTCAACTGAGACTTTGTTGCTATAATAACCATATTGATTTTCTATGATCTCTGGTCTGTTTCTCATACTAGAATTTAGTTTCCTATACTCCCACATTGTGCTGAAGATTCTTAGCAACTGGCAGGATATGCTGCATTGACGGGCATGGGAAATTCTGGAACTGGTAGTAGCTTTAATGAAGAAACATCTTTTTCTTCTCCAAGCAGGTTGAAAAATTTCTCACCAAGGGCCTTACCACCGCACTCTTCAGGGTTGATGAGTCCCATGGCTGGAATTGAGAAAAAAAATATCAGAGAAACCAATCAAGATACTAAAGGCTTTGCCGGAAGCCAAACCAGCGATTATGGTAGTACTAGCTTCCCAGTTGGTTCTTGGGATGAATCTGCTGTCATGTCTGATAACATTGTTAGTCGAAAAGCACTTGAAAATGACGACGACAAGGAGAAGTACTCAAATTTGAACATTTCAGACACTAAGGTATTAGCTATTTCAAGCCCATTGTGATTGTTCTTCTTGATATCTGATTCTGATTGGTCTCGTCTTTATTGTTTTGCTTGAAAACTCAGAAAGTGGATCCCAGAAATCGCCCTCCCATGCTTGCTCGTCATCTTACTTTGCCAAGTACTGCAGCAGAAATGAATGCTGTTGAAAAGATCTTGCAGTTTTCAGATTCTGTTCCTTGTAAACTTCGAGCCAAGCGTGGCTGTGCTACTCATCCCAGAAGCATTGCGGAGAGAGTAAGTCCGGATATATTGTACAGTTAATCATATATTCTCTTATTCAATACCATTAGCTGTATGTATTTTATTTCCAAAACCCACTGCATTTAGAATATAATTTGCAACTTTCAAGCCATCTGCTGACCCTCTCATCTCATGTGAGATACTTTATTGGTTTATTGGTTGGGAGGAGAACAGAACATTCTTTATGAGTGTGTTGAAACTTCTTCCTAATAGACACGTTTTAAAAGCTTGCGGGAAAGCCTGAAAAGGAATACCCAAAAGAGACATTATGAGTGGGCTTGAGCTGTTGTAACTCATGTACTTGACTCAAGGAAATGGGAAAGAATCCTTTACTGCATTAACTAAAAACATAACATCTTTTAGGAATGTCCATGTCCTTGTATAAATTAAGATCCGAACCCGGATATGGACCTAGATACTAAACGAAGTCATTCCCTTTACTGATAACTTTCAGGTCAGACGAACTAAAATCAGTGAACGAATGAGGAAGCTTCAAGAGCTGGTGCCCAACATGGACAAGGTAACTTTCTTTTCACTTTACTCTTATAAAAGTTGGTAAAGGTTGAGCTAAAGTATCTCTCTCTTTCTCACCACAGCAAACCAACACATCAGACATGTTAGATTTGGCAGTTGAGTACATAAAAGGCCTTCAGAAACAGGTCCAGGTAATAATAAATTTATGACTGACTTGACTCACATGTGTATGATAAAAGTTACCAGCACCATTCTTTTCCTTATCCTTTGTTGATTTTGGTCCAGACACTTACAGATAATCGTGCAAAATGTAAGTGCTCACATAGGCAGCATCAATAGCCAAAAAAAAGTCTTTGGCGTGGAAATTCTTATGTACAGAGCCTTGCAATTTGTAAATTTAGGGTATAACAGGAAACTCTCTGAGCAACTTATTTGTGTATTAATTAAGAAGAAATAGTGAGTCAACATGATTTGCTGTGAAGAAAGTTTGCAGAACAAAAAAATGAAGACAAAGGACTGCTGAAAGCTGGCTGTGCATGTGAGTTTAAAGACCTGCTGGTAGTGCCCACCACTGTGTAAATTAAATAACCATGCATGATTAGTAGATCTTCCACTGCATCTAATCTTTCACTTGACTGCATATCTGGGTAGAGGAATTAAGAAGGGAAATTGGCATCAATGGCTGACCCAAAAAATGGCTTAGAAAGAAATGTGGAATAAGCTGCTTGATTTGTAATCTAATTATGCTCTCGATATTATTTGATTGCTTCAGAAAAGTTGGAGAGACGCCGAATCAAATTCATTCAAACTCTCCGGGGAAAAAAACAGAAAGGGAATCGACATTGTGGGATGTATCAGTATCAAAATGGTTCCATCTTCCACTTCTCTTTCAGATAAGTACTTTATAGGATTAGTGGGTTTCAGTTCAGTGTTTCTTTCATAGAATGTATGAAAAAGGGCTTTCTGTGTATATATATATATTATATATATATTTTTCTGGGTCCCAAAGGCTTTCCCATTAGGCACAACTGTTAAATCTGTGAAATTAAGACTTTATTGGCAACTTTAATGAGGTTGTAAGGGGGAAGTTTGAGAAGAAGAAGCGTAGGGGAAAGTTAGGTGGAAAGAGGTAGCTTCCTAGTCTGTTTTGGAAGTATTCATTCTATAATTGGAGGGAGAGGGAGGGAAAAAGGATGGGTGTGAGTAATTAAGGAATACAACTGCCCCCGTCTGCACGGAGCCTTCTGAGTCAATTCTTCATAAATGTGTGCTCTATTTTCATCTTCATTATTTCTAGATGGATGCATTTAACTTTCTAGACACAGAGTGAGAGAGTTTTGAATCCTTTATGGGAGGGAGTTCTTGAAGGCAACTTTGTTTTTCTTTTATATTTGGAAATTTTAATGTATCTATCTAACCATCCTTGTAAATTGGTTTGTATTTATTTTTATGATTGGAAAATTGCCTTAAAAGTTTCTCTAAGTGGCATAAATTCATATATATTTGGGTCAAACTACGTTTTTATTAAAAATAGTTTAATTCATTTTGATGAGTAGGATTTTCACTTTGTTCGGAGCAGGTCTCTAAAGTACTGGATGTGTTAAACCAAATCAACAAATTAAAGAACATCCAACAAGTCCATGATTATTTATGGAAGGTTGGGCTAGCTTGACTTATCAAATAGTGTTTTAGGCCCATTGGGCTGTTTCGAGGCCCATATTTCTTTGTGATGGGTTAGCTACTCGGTCCATTTTACCTTGTACCCTGCCATTATATTTTCAATATAATTAATGTCTAAAATTAAATGTTGACATCTCCATTTTCTTTATTATACTTTTATCAAGTACTTATATTAATGATTATCTACAATAATAAAAATAATAAAAAAAAGTGTAAATTAATCCATTTGTTTTGGTTCATTTATTGACGTATAGAACAACTTTCCGCGGAATATATGACCTATGCTCGTTTAAGTTTTTTAAATTTTATTGGTATATGTGCATTGTTTATGATAAAAAAAAAGATTTTTTTTTTTTTTTTTTTTTTTTTNAAAAAAAAAAAAAAAAAATTTTTTTTTTTTTTTTTTTTTTTTGTCTGGAGCCTAACTAAGTCAGAATAATAGAGTTACAATTCTACCCAACTCAATTAAAAATATTTAACGTTTATAACGACGTTAATGATAATTGATATATATATGATAATAGAGAGTTTTTTTTTAAGGTAATTAAAAAATACTCTCGAAAAATTACACAATTTTTTGTTAAAATATTTCCTCAATATGTTCATAAATTGAGTTATCTATTTAGGTTTAACGATCCGGAGGATAAAAGCGTAACTTCACATTATACGATCGTATGTAGGATATTTACTTAGCACCCGCGCAGTTTAGCAAAATGCCGAATGGCGGGAAAATGGCTCACAAAGTTCCGACCTTCCTTAGAACCAACTAATAGCCAATCACAATTCGCAGACTTCATTCGCCGGAATTCTAAGCTGACGAACGGGCAGAAGGAGCCATTTCTGGTCGCCGTCGTCACTATTACCCGGCCAAAGCAAAAGATGAAGCTGTAAACCGCGAAGGAGGTGGAGAAAAGGTTTGGTGCCGAAGAACAAGTACAGCATCTCATTTGAGCATCCTCAATTTCAGGAAGTCGCCATGGACAAATACTTGGTGCCTCCTGAATCAATATCTCAAGTTCCTAAACCGTTGAGGAGGTTTTGTCTCTGATTCCATTGCTTCGCCCTCTTTTCTCTGGTTTTTGGGATTTTTCTATTGAATTTCGTAGTTGGCTTACTTGTGAAGGAATAGGTGGAAATTGAGCACTGTTGAATTGAATGGGAAGTTTGATCCGAAATACCGCCGGGACTTGTCCGTGCTTCTTGTGCAATCTTATACCGAGGTACATTTTCGACGTTGTTCTGGTATGTTGGTATGTTAAATGTTCTTCTACTCTTGAATATCATGTAATAGCAGTGCGTGTTTGGTTTCATTCCGTAAAGGTTGGAGCATTTCCTCATTTATATCATATAAACGGCGTTTCTTGTCCAACGAGTGTATGTTGTTCTCTACTCAATTTCCGGTTTCATTTTCAATACTGTGTGGTTAGAATTAGATTCTGTTTATGCTGAGAATGTAGAGTCTGCAGATGAATCGAATTGCCAATGGAGCTCAGGATCATCAGCTGCCGTTTAAGAAGTCAGTACATCTCTATAATATAACATTCAAGCATTACGATGTCAATTGATTTTTCCTTTTGGGTTTGGTTTGGTTCGGTTCTATTTCTGACTCTTCTTGGTGTTCTTTTCTTTGGTGTTTATTAATATGCAAATTTTAGGTCTTCGATTCTTTGCGTTTTTTGAAAACCCGAGACTGTTGTGCATTTTTTAAAATTTATTCTTTGTGACCTTCTTCAGTTATCCAGATCCTGTTGCCAATTCTCGAAAGGGCCTTCATTTTAAAATATTTGGAATGGCTAAGAAATGGCAAATTATGAGGAAAGGAAAACCATAGGCAAAATATTAGTTTTGTTTTTATAGAAAAGAATGAAGTGTTCTCTATCAACTTTTCCTCCCCTTCTCTACTCAATAAAGGGACAAAAAAAAAAAAAAAAAAAGAAGCTAATTTTAATTCTTTTGTCAGACAAGGCATATCTGCTGTGGACTTTGACAACAAGGTGAATTATTGGATCATTACTTTCAGCTGTTGTCCTACATTGTCAATATCCTAACCTTTTATTCTTTGGTTTTTCACAAAACACCTGTCCCACCCCCATCCACATACGCATCCATGGAAATCTATTCCAGGGAATATACTTGGTTTCAGCAACGAAAGCAGGTTGTTTAACAGTGCATGACTTTGAGAGTCTTTATTTGCAGACTAATGAAGCAGGTAACTTTTGTTCTTTTAAGTTCTTCGTTCCTCTTGTGTACGTTTCTTTTCTTTTTCTTCTAAGCTTTGTGACAAAAATATGAAGCATGTTCTTACGCAGTGTATATATCTCTAAATAGGGTGCATTTAAGTATTTTGATGACTGAAGTACCTTCCTTCGACTAATAGGGTTGAGTGAAGATGAGATCAAACATTTACTGCACCTTTCCCTAAATGAACAGCTTGACTTTGTACGTTGGAATCCTGCCAATCAAGATGAGGTTTTTGTTCAACTCGTTTTCCTTGTAATTATGAGAATCATTTTTTCCTCAATAGATTGCTGTAGAATTGTCCATTGAATGTTCAAAAAACAAAATGTTGGTTGCTATTCTGATGCCCCATTATGCAAGCCGTTTCCTTGCTTGAAGTAATTACGATGAATTTGTGTGAGGCACTCTAGTTTGATGCTATAACTGTACAAAATCACAAAACAATTCTGGATTCCAAATACTAAAATATAAGACTCGTCTGTAACGGTCCTAGCATCTTGTATGGTCTTTTGTTTCGTTCAGGGGCTTGCTGCAGTTTGGACAGTGATTGTCGTGTAATATATAGGAGTCATATGCTAATGTAAAAATTCCTATAAATAATTGTTATCTATTACTCAAATATGATATAATACCTCCACCATTGTCTCTACTTTGAATTAATTCCCGATGAATGCACTGTTGTTTATACTGACTCTGATGCTGAATTATGTATTTATTAGTGGCTTCTTCCCATATTTGCTGTCTGCTAACATATGTTCTCTACTTAGGTGGTCTGTACGTCCATGAAAAGTAAGGAACTAAAGATCTTTGACATTAGTTATATTTCTTCTAAACCAGTCGAAGTAAGTTCTTCTTTCACCTTTACATAAAAAAAAATACTCGTCGGTTTCAATGAATATTTGGAATTTTATAGCCTCCGAGTTCATTTTATGATTTGCTAAATTCTCAAGTTTCCCATCTTTACAACAAATGCCAATACAATCATCTAGCTTTCCAAGTTTCCATTTGTCTAGAAATGGCAAGTACAACCAATACAATTCACTTGTAAAATAATGTCCTGTTGAAAGTTCAATATATATGCTTTGTCCATCATAGACATAACACTTCAAATGGAGGAACTTGCTTGTGCAAATAAATAAGTTTGCTAGTGTGAACAGTGAAAGTTTGTCCATCTTTATGTTTGTGCGCTAGTTTTTTGAAAAATAAGATATTGTTATAAGCATATTTATGCTTTAAGAAACTTAATTGATACCATTGTTGCATTCACCATATAATTCTTTTTCTATTTCTTTTCACGGTTGAAAATTAATTGTTGGTAAATATACTGATCGTCAGTTTGACCATGAACTGATAATTTCATTCATGATCCTCGTAGGTGTTGAGAGTAAGACAAAGAATTAATAATTCAGGGTCTGATAATCATAAAGGTTTATCTGACATAGCATTTATTTCAAATAATGCAAGGTTGGTGGAACAACTCATTACCTTATTATTCTTTTTTTTGTATGGACAATAAATATACAACCATTATAATTTATAATTATGGAAAGAAAGAATTGAATAAGACAACTGGTTCATATTTATTTCTATTCTTATTGGGTTGCCTTTTCCCTTCACATTTAAGGATTAACGAACAATGTTGAACTTACCTTGAACGTTTCTTCTTTATGAAAAATGAAGTTTCGTTAAGAAATAATATGAATGGACAATAAAAAAAAAGTTTACTACAGTTGTAGCCTAAACAAAGAAACCAAATTTGAGACTACATGAAGGGGCTTCAATTGTTGAGAATAGTAGGCCAAATATAGTTCCAAAACTCCTTAGAATTAAATGTAAACCTAGTCACAAATCGCCCTTCCTCTAGAGACTCAGATCCTGCAAAAAGCTCCTATGAAAGATATATATGATGTCTGATTAGGACCATGCCAAATGTTTCAGTGATTGGCAAGAACTAATATAGATGATAATTGATGGATCAAAGAAAGAAAATCATGAGTTGGCTGTCAATGAAGCAAGAAGAGAAACAATGCAAATAGTCATTTCGATACCATGTTGTATAACATCGATGTCTTCATTTCTTCTCTATTTGATTTGAGCAGACAGGTCTCAAATAGTCACTGATGTACAAAAGTATAAAAGGAGTACAAAGGAAAAATGGTAAAATTTACATATTACAAAAAAAAAAAAAAAAAAAAAAAAAAAAAAAAAAAAAAAAAGAATGCACTAAAGACTAACAAATGGGACAAAATCATGTGTTGGAATAGATGTATGGACTGAACTTTACTTAAAGTTTCCAGAAATTGATACTTGTGACTTCTTTAAATAGACATCTCTGATGGACCAAAAATTGAAATTTTAAAGTGTTCAAACAAATTTTTTAGTATGGTAAAGTGTTTCCTAATGGAATACTAAATGCATGGGACATAGTGACATTGTGGTATTGTTGGTTATTGATAATGCTAACTGTTGGTTTCTTCTGAACACTGGAACTTAATGTTTTTACACCTAATCTAATCATCTCTATTTTCATCGTAGAAAAGTTCAATGAAATATTGTCCTCTGCGAACATTTTGGCAGGTTACTTGCATCTGATACATGTGGTGTAATCAGTATGTGGGACAGAAGAATTGGAAAACTTCCATGTCTTGAGCTAACTAGTAATTCATGCAGTACCCTTAACAGAATCCAGCTGAATGATGAAAACCAGGTACTTGTTGTTGGAATACATATAGACAATTTTGTTCCCCATAAATCACATTCTTTTATTTTCTGCGTTAAATTTCTCACCACTCAAGTAACTTCGGTTTCATCTTCCGCCACTGATATCTTGGTTTAGATTATCTTTGGCGCTGGTAAGCATGGAGCCATCTATATTTGGGATCTTCGTGGAGGGAGAACATCTGGTGCTTTTCAAAATCATAAAGAGGTAATAGAACTAATAGATCTAATGAGGTCTAAAAATGATGATGCCATTGATGAATGGGTTTAGTCAACTCCTTTTTTTTCTTCTAATGGGATAAAAAGCTAGTATCTTGTTGTTCTCATTTGTTCTAAGGTTATTCTTATTTTGTTCCCCTTATTTTGATTCAGTCAGATTTTTTCACTATTTTGCTATGTATAACCAATTCTCTCAATAAGGTCTGTAATTAAAAATGAGTTAGTGCATTTAGAATTATTTTTCTATAGAAAATGAATTGTAATTTCAAAATTGCAGTTTAATACATTCATCCTATTTATTAATAATACTGTGGTATCAGGGCAAGCGCTATGCGCGCTGTCTCCCAAGTAATATATGGAGTGTACTTTAAGAATCGAACCTTCAAGGGGAATGGATGTAGTAAATTTTAAACTAAGCAACAAAAACCTCCTCTAAGAAAAAGTAGCTGACTACAGTATTTACATGTGGGGATGATTACCGTAGTTGTTCATATATATTGCAAATCCAAAAAGCAATCAGAAGGCAATTTTTATAGGCAGAAACGTTATTTTTGTTTCTGTTTTGCTTTTAAATGACCATGCAGGGACTGCTTGATGCTATTCAGGAGACAGAATGTGTATGCAATTAAGATATGGTTCATTACCTGAACCTTTTTCTCTAGTTTGTGGCACCGGATGAATATCTGTCGTAGATTAAAATAATCTACTCTGAGTAGGATACCTGGGGGAACAATTTAGTTGCCCGATGGCCTGTTGGTCTGATTGTAACTCAACTAAGCTAATGCTGGCTACGCTTACGCAGAAATTTGACCCTCACCATACCCTGTCGATGACAAGTTTCGTCATAATGTTTTTTTTTCTTTCTTTAGTTGTTTCATTTTCCGTAGATTCTATATTGAAGCATCATATTCTTTTATTGCATGCATATTTATTCAAGCATTTTCACGCAGGTATGCCATCCTCCTCTAAAATCATTGAAGTTAGCCTCAATTATAGAGAAAATTGGGACTTTGAAGGTACTGAAAATTTTACTATCATTTATTCCTGTCCGCTGTTGCTTTTAATAAAAAACAGTCTCTTGCAATGAGATTTTTAAAAATGAATGTCCTTGTTTTTTGATCATCAACAAAAGATATTTACTATTGAGCTCCAAGTATGTTTTTTATTCTGGTTGCCCCACGAACATCACTATGTAGTATATAAAGACGGTGGGAAGTTTTGTAAGTGCATGGGAATAAAGAGACCGAACATGCTTGACTAGTTAATATATTTCATACAAACAACAAAGATTATATGTTAAAAATAGAAGGAAAAATATTTTTAGCTAACATGAAGTTCGGCTGATCCAAATGATGAGGCTATAATATAAACTGGCTATTATTTTCATGAATACTATAGACTCTACAAGTTTTCTTGGCTTCTAAATGTAATCAGATCAAGTGGTTGTCTCGTAAAAGTAGTCAAAGTTGCGCAAGCCAACCTGAATATTTATGGATGTAAAAAATAAAAGTAAATACATAAATTAGCATGAATACTAGAGACTAGACTAGGAAGTAGAATTCTTACCATTTAGAATGTTTAGAGAAGTTATAGGAGTTTTAAGGATGTAGGGCCCAGAGTCCTCTTCAGCAATGCCAAGTGTCTTCCCTGACTTAAATCCTAAAACACACATTCACAAGCCTAAGTTTAGTAAGATGTCTAATTAGCAAGTTGGCTGACAAGGATCAAATTGCACCTCAGTTTTGGTACGTAAAACATCAAGTGCAAGGTCCTTAGTCATATATATATTGGACCAAGTGCCCCAAGGATTAGCACGTGTACATGTTGGGATGGGAAATTTTTTGTTCAATTGAAAGCATAATGTGATGTACGTTTTTTCACATGTCAAAAGTATTATATTTCTTTTAGCATTTAAATTCTATGATGGAAATTGTGATGAGGTTAACTTTGCTGCACAGTGAGAACAATTATGTTGTTTCGAATGGATGTAAATGTTAATTTGAACTTGATACGATTCTATTTGTAAAAAAAAATGCAGTAGAAAATGCAATAAAATGGTTAGTTATTTTGTTCTTTGTATTTTAAGACAAAATTTTCAATAGGTGTGGTTTACCTTTGTGCATCACAATGTAGGAGCAAGCGAATATCATTCCGAAGGAAATACACTCTATTGATCTCAACCCAGCTTGTCCTTATCAGTTGGCCTTTCATCTTGACGACGGATGGTATGTTGCTAAAAGAAACTTTCATATTCCTACTTTAAATGATGAATTATTGCAAAATATCAATTTCTATTGAATAGAAAAACTGTCTATTTCTCATTTACTTACAATAGTTACAAGAGAACTTTTTTTATGTAGAAGTAAAGATCTAATACATCAAAAGAAAAAACTTACTCAAATAATTACAATATAAATACATCTAATAATTCTAATGAAGGAAAATATCACAAACATAAACCCACTCTCTTTTCATTCATGCTTGAAATTTACAAAAAGAATTTACTATCTATGATGTTTTCGAAAGACCTTCCCAATTAACCATGAGGGAGGTATATCTATAATGTGACAAGCTGGTTTAGTAAGAGACAAGCTGATTTGAAGATATCTTCCATGCCAACTTGTCAAATCGTAGTTTTGGAAGCCTCTTAGTTAGTACCTTATTAATTTGCTTTGTTGTAGAAAGATAGAGAATGCATATCAATCTTCTACTTTATGAAGTATTTATCAACTTGGATATGTTTTGTCCTTTTAAGAAGGACTGGATTGTGAGCTATGGAGATGACTTATTGTCTCACTAAACACATAGACGCCTTCTTGACGAATTTCAATTCTTCTAGTAGTCTTTTATTTTATTTATCCAAATACTTTCATAAATGTCATGAGCTAAATCTCTGAATTCTTCTTCAGCACTACTTCTGGCTACCGCCTTAGTTTTTTACTTCGTCCGGCAACTAGATGCCCTCCAACCAAGGAGTAATAATTAGAAGTAGATCTTTTATCAGTAGTGCTACCTACCCCGTCAACATCACTATAAATTTCAACAATATAGGTCACGTTCCTAAAAAGTATGCCTTTTCTGGGGGTTCCTTTTAGATACCTTAGAATCCTGTAAACTTCCTCAAACTGGCCTCGTCTTTGGTATTTTTCCTTATCTTTTACTTCTTCCTCTATTGCAACTTGCAATTTTAAATTTGGTTCTATAGGAGTTTTTGTTGATCTACAACCAAGTAAACTTTTTTCTTCAAGCAAATCCATTATATATTTTCTTTATTGACAAGGATACCCTTTTTTACCTGAAAATTTTCACCACTAGGAAATACTTCAAAATTCTCATGTCTTTGATTTAGAATTCATTTGCTAGTTTTTCCTTCAAACTCCCTAGTCTAGCCTCATCATTTCTTGTAAGAACTGTATCATCAACATACACAATTAGGATAACTATCTTGTCATTTCCAGCGTGTATAAAAAATGTATGATCTACTTGATTATGAAGATAACTATAATTTGTAACAACTTTCCCAAAAAACGTTTGAACCACGTGCTAAGAGATTGTTTAAGGCCATATAGAGATTTCTTAAACCTGCATATTTTGTTAACTCCAAGATCCACTCCAAAACCGGGAGATTAGCCATGAACACCTCCTCTTTAAGATCATTATTGAGAGATGCATTCTTGGCTTTTGAGCTTGATATTTCTCTATTTTAGTCTTCAAACTACTTAATCACCATTTAACTATTTTCCTACCATAAGTTCAAATAAAAACTCAATTTAAACTTGAAAGGTAAGAAATATTAGAGAAGAATGTATCTATTCGAGGAGTGTAAACATCATTTACCATCCCACCCTCTAGCCTTTCAGATTACTGGAGCATAAATCTGTATCTCATGTCTGGTATTTTTGTATTTTGGGACTGTGCTACCTAGATTACAAAATGGATTTAGCTAAAATTGCGTTGAGATTACCCTTTCCCTTGCGGAATCATTTGATATTGTTTCAGCACTTGCTCCTACATGGGGACTCAAGATTATAATTTTGACTCTCATCTAACTTGTGGACTATTAATGAGTTAAAAGAGGAATAACATTACAAACACTTGAACTCTAGAACTTTTATTGCTTTGATACTATGTGAGATGTTTGCATCTGTAAGCTTAACCTCTTAGGTTCCGTTAAATTTTGGCCATTTTATATGTTCACAAAGATTATCCAGGATTATAATTTTCCTATGCTTCTTCAGGTCAGGCATTTTAGATGTTTATAATTTTCAGGTCACACATATTCATTGCCCGCCCCCAGCATGGTTGTAAGTAAATTTAAACTTATTGAAGATATTCGTTATGTGAAGAATCAGGTACTTTTGTAACCCTGTTTCTTTTTGTTTGGAAAGAGTAGAAATGATTCCAACATGCCCACAGATCAATTATTTTTGAGAAAACCAACATGGCTGCCTACAGATTCTGTAAGTTATCTTAATCCATGCTTCTATTTTGTTCATCATTTTTTTGACTCAAGTTGCACGACCAAAGTAGTTCTGTTAATCTCTTCAATCATATAGGATAATAACAATATGTGGCCGTCAATTTATCCTCGACTATTTGTAACCGTTTCTTTTTCTATTTGTTTCGTTGGCAACTTCCAATTTCCAGATATCTCATGTATGATGTTTGAGTGGATCGTGAATATAGTCCTCACTTTAGTTTGTAGATTATGTGAAGAAAAGTCTATGCTATGCTATTGAAGTAAATTGCAAAGTCCAATAATTTTCTTATGTGCGAATTTTGATTTAGGAATTCTCTTGCATTTAGGCTCTTACTTGGTAGAGGCCCAGTCAGAAATAATAATAATAATAATAGTAAAACTAAATAGAAAGAAGGAGCTATCCAGTAAGCAGATCTCCTTGCACGGGTGCTGTACAAACAAGGACGTCTGTCTAAGCAATTGAAAGTTATATTGGCCTACCATAACCTGTTAATTGCTGGTTCATAGAAGATGAAAAGATGTTTTCGGTCTAGTAAATATTAGCGCGGAAGTTATTTAGTATAGTAACATACTGTGATGATATGCGGATTCGTAGCATGTGCAGCTGTTCATAGCGAGTTACTGGTACATATACCTGGAGTTTTGTTCAGTCAAGTTCCTAATCAATTTTGCAATGGTATTTTGTAGATCTATTCAGTTGGGTCTCCTTCTGATGAAGGCATTCATCTTCTGGATTTTCATCCCGACGTCCGCTCTCCCAGCCATGTGAACTTTAAGTAAGAATTTAATGAACAAACTTGTAGGTTTTGTAAGAATACAATTCAAAATGGGCAGCTATAGACACCAATAGTTGGTGAAAGAAAAACAATAAAATGGTAATATAAGTATCATTAATCCTTAACATTCTACGACTTTGAATCTATTAAATATCAACATTTTGTTATAGAGAAGAGATTGATATTCTTTTGTGCTGTTTATTGCATCCTTTTCATGTTCCAGTGATGAGATATATGGTGCTGGAGGCGAAAACAAAAGACGACAGAACAGGTTTGTGAAGTTGTCTGAAGGAGTTACTTCTTGTGCTGCTCACCCCCTCAATGGCACCATCATAGCTGGAACCAAGGTTTGTTTATATCTTATCTTTACTATTTATTGCAGTAGTGATCATCTTTCCCTTTTTACATAATTAGCCCTTTCTCTTCGATGAAATCCTGACTTTTGGGAGGATTGGTTACAGAATTCATCTTTGATCATGATTTCCCAGAAGAACCGATCATGTTAGAAGCCAGAGTTCCCATTTGAAGCCGCTTTTAAGTTCAATGGAAAAAGTGGTAAAGGCCGTTGCTATCGACTAATCAAAAAATGGCTTGGGAACTCAGGTGGGTTAGTGATGGTCCGTTGCTTTGCTTTTTATGCTCTTCCAAACACATTGTATATGAATATCATATCTATTAACACCTGATCATAACAAGTTTAGTGGTTTATTTTCTTGTGTTTTTTAACACTTGGTCGTTAAATCAATATGTTGTTTAGATCATGAACGAATCTAATATGAAGCTAATTCATGGTTGTTAAGTTCCAAGTAAGAATATGCATCATTTCTTACAAAGCATTGATTGAGTCTAACATCACTATTTGATAATATCCTAGATCAAAATTACTGATTTAATTACTCTTCGAATCATTATTGATCAATTGAATGTGTAATCTTAAGTTCGGATTCATAGTTCACGATTGCAAATTTACCGTTCAAAATGCAAATCTTATATCGGTTGCAACTTTTAAGCCTGGATTCATATTTTTCGTAAACGTGTTTGCGTTTTCAATTCATGTCACAATACATTGTACAAAAGAGCATAAAAAATTGGTGTATTGAACTTAAAAGGAATAGCACGAACAAATGCCAACAGAAGTGAAACCCAACATCAACAGTGACACCATAGAACATGAATGATTGAGGCCAAAACAATAATGCATTGTATCAAGAGCGACAATGGCTTTCAAAAGTGCAATAATAATCGGTACACCATCTGTATTGACATTATGACAAAGGCACCATCTTGTGTGGGTAAGGGGTATACCAAATCATTAGAAGCAGAGGCTAATAATATAGTTTTCTCAATGTTCTATATCAAAACAAAGAATGAGGGCAAAAAAAATGGCATTAATATCAGGAAGCGGTTCAATTTTCATCACAATTGTTCCACCAAAAGCTAACAGAAAAGCTAGTTGTTAGGGATCGAACATAGTGCCACCATTTTGGTGGGATATATAGCATCTCACCTTCCTCTAGAATGCAGTCCACAAAATCCAAGTCCACCACCTTTGGAAACTCTTTTTCATCTATGTTGTCTAGATCGACCTTCAAAGTAATATTTATGAACAGCGTAAGCTCGAAACACGGTGGTCGTTGTAAAGAGTAAAAACACAAAAACAGTGGAATGAATAACGCTCGACAGATCAATGAAGCAAATTTAAGAAACAATGATAAGATGATAGATAACTAATGAAGAAACCATAATTCTCATGGCTATGCTCCAGAATTTCAAACCATAATCATGTCAGTTTTTCATCACATAAGATTTATTAGAGTGGTTACCTGGCTGGAATTGCAAAGCATAGTTTCAGTGTATGGGTAAAGTTCCTCACACAACGAAGCATCATAAAGCCTAACGTACTTTTTGCCTAAAACCTGTACAAAAGGAAACAGTTAAGTATCAAAGTATTAAAGTAACAGCAATTTCTTTGTTGTAAAAGCTTGCAGACTATGCGTGCAAAGCATCACTATCCACACCCTCTTTCAGATAAACGTGATTATGTAAATATATGTACACATGCCAATAGAGAAAAAATATAGTACGGTCACAAAAAAGTGCATAGGGCAACCTGCATGAATGCAATGCAAGAGTTTGAGATTTTTTCAGCATACAATAACAGCTCAAGCCCACCCGCTAGCAGATATTGTCCTCTTTGGGCTTCCCCTCAAGGTTTTTAATACGCGTCCGCAAGGAAGAGGTTTCCACACCCTTATAAAGAATATTTCGTTCTCCCCTCCAATTGATGTGGAATCTCACAATCCACCCCCCTTCAGAGGCCTATCATCCTCGCTTGCACTCGTTCCCTTCTCCAATCGATGTGGCACCCCCCAATCAACCCTTCTTCGGGCCCAGTGTCCTTGCTGGCACACTGCCTCATATCCACCCCCTTCGTGGCTTAGCCTCCTCACTAGCACATTGCCTGGTGTCTGGCTCTGATACCATTTGTAACACCCCAAGCCCGCTGCTAGCAGATATTGTCCTCTTTGGATTTTCCCTTTCGGGCTTCCCCTCAAGGTTTTTAAAACGTGTTTGCTAGGGAGAGGTTTCCACACCCTTATAAAGAATATTTCGTTCTCTTTCCCAACCGATGTGAGATCTCACAGACATTGTTTCTATTAAAATCTTTTATCTCCAAGACCTCTACCAATTTCCAAAGCAGCAACACAATTCCTTTCAATAGAACTATCACATTCACTCGATCCCTGCCTCATTTTTTCTCGCAACAGAGGATGCTTTTACTTCCTGTCTCCAGACTCTATCCAGTTTGCCAACAGTTCACAAGTCAACAGGTTCATTTAAGAAAAATTTGCAGTTTTACTACTCAGTGAATCAATATCCTGAAAATCTGAATGCTAAATGACACGAACCCTTTTTATATTCAGCCTTAAGAAGTGACTTATTCAATTGTTGAAGCACGACTCCATCCTATAGTTCAAAATGTAGGGTTGGAAGTACCAAATGAAAAGATGCAAAGAAAAAAAAAGGAAAAATAAAAATGAGAATTAGCTCACAAAAGTTACAAGGCTTTCCAGTGTAATCATTTCAAGCAATCATCTGTTAATACAAACCTGAGCTAATATATTGTGATGAGGATCATGGTGTAAAGGTGTTACTGTCCCAGGTGGGCCAAACCAAGCATTAAGAGATCTTAACTCTCCGCCACCAACAAAACAGTAATCAGGAATACAAATGTCCTTCCGGAGCTCATCTATCTGTTTTTGAAGAAAGAAAGAAAGAAAAATATTTAATAATATTTGCAGTACTAAATGCCATAGGTTACCATTATGTTCTTCAAAGAATCTACCAGATCATAAGATGCACACAGATATGCATGCACATACAATGCTAAACTGATAAAGTTATGTATGGATACGTGCCTGGTCAAATAATGGATGTTGAGCGAGATACGTTATATCATCAGAACGGTTATTGGACTGAATCCTGACAAGAAATTCGGAAAACGTAATAAGCTCTTGTTTCCATTCTGGACGTAAATAGTTCTTCCCAACCTGAAAAGCATAAAAGCTTTACAAGCCTTCAGTTCAGGGGTGGAAAATCTATCAGTTCCAATATCAAGTCAGCAGGAGTTAAGCAACAATAGGAAGAAAAATTACAAAAAATTATATAAAGAAAAAAGAAAGGAAACAAACCTTTCAAAAGGGTTGTAAAGAATAATAGTCAAGAAATACTTTATACAATTTGGTACACACATTCTCAAGATCCAGGACTGTTCATCGTATTGATAATAAACAAATGAACAGATAAATAAATCACCTCAACTGGGATCGTACGGTCGCCAGCAACCTTTTGTAAGTAATCCATGTTCTTCCACTTTGTCCTAGCTGGCCAATGAGCCATACCATCACTAATAATAACTGGGAAACCTGGTTGGAAATATTCACGCAAGAATCCCTCTAGAGATAAAGCAGACATCTTTGCTACTATCTTATTAGTGAGAGCCTTTACTGGTAAATTCCAAGGAACCTATACGTCGAAGGCATCCCATGTTACTTGTTAGAACAGATTTTGGTATTGACACGGAAACATGGATAATATGATTATATCAACACCACATAGGAAAACAGAACATTAGCACAATCATAATAAGAAATGATGGAAGAGAGAAAAATTTTAAAAGGTAGGGGCATAAAATCAAAATAGTTAATAAATTAGAAATTTAATATTATTTGAATTTCAGGGCAGTTCTCCTGCAATTCCCTTTCTCAAATTCTCTCGGTTGTGGATGATGCTATTCTTTCGGGTCGAGTAAGGTGATATGGAAGACCCAATGTTGGAAGGAAGATAAGATTTTGTTCGGACATGATTCCTCCACGGCATTAATACTTGTGATAGAATTGCAGCAAGGAATCCTAGATATCTTTCGACAACAGTAGGATGTGAATCAAAATCATCTCTCTTTGGTGCACGTTCTCCATTAACTCGTGGCAGAAGCTTCTCAACTGTTTTGGGTTTCAAGTGATTCTCCCTAGATGTGTAAAGGAGTTCTTACTTCAAATGCTCTATAGCCATCTGTTCAACGCACAGGAATCTCGTCACATTGTCACTAAATACTAATAAGGCTACTACTCTAAGCTTTGGCTAAAATGGAATGGGAGACTCTTTGAAGGGCTTGATAGGGTAACTTGAGCTTTGGAACTAATTGTATAAAACTTATTCAGTCCAGGTACTGTTGTAAGTTCATCAGATAGAACACTATCATTTCTTCCTAAAGTTCTCAGACGATCTCCAAGTGACTTTCACCTTCTAGCATATACTTAGCCCAAAAGAAATAAGTTTCAGAATAACATCATTCTAAACAACAGTAATGAAATCCATCATTAAGCACTGCCAGTGAAAATGAATCAAATAGAACACGAGCATTCGTCTACGCCAACGCTTGCCTCATCACGAAATTTAACTTGAACAAGAACGCTTCTAGCAAGTAAACTAGTTAGTTGTTTAAATCCAGGGTAGCTCTGGGCTTCCTCGTGGTAATCCCACAATGACATTAGCAACCATTTACAGGAAAAAACTTCAAGTAACTGCAGAATTTTCATCATCAAAAGAAGAATAAAATCCACCACGATTTAGAAAATGAATCCATTTGATCTTCGTTTCTGAAATGTAAGACTAGAACACTAATGTTTCACAAATGAGTGAATGAAAAATGAAAAACAAAAATCCCATTAGAAGATTCAGAACAGTCAGTTTGACAGAAATGAACTAAGAAAGTATCAGCAACCAAGTTCTTCAAAACATTAGAATCACCAACAGCAAGAAGTTAAGAAACTCAAATCAAACAAAAATCAATTTAAAGAAAAAAAAAAACGAATCTCACCTCGTTATTCCGCTCCTCACAACCCAACGGAGGCTCCAATTGATCATCCTTCTCCGCAACATCCAAAACCCTAACAACCCTCGCCGCAGCAGATACTTTCGCAATGGCAGAATCCAAATCACTCCTCAAAAGCGGACCACCCATGATCACTCCCATATCCAAAACCCTAAGAGCCTCCTTAAAGTCGCCGCCAGCAAAATGGAACCTGGCCATGTAGAGGCAAGCCATGGAGTAGGCATCACGCCATATAGGGAGAACAGAGTGCCAAGGGCCAGAATGAAGCTGCTCCCAAGCCATCTCACTAGCTGCCTCGGCAGCATGTGAGTCTCCGGCAGCCGCGAGAGCCGCCATACTGATGTAGGCATAGCCACCGTGCTCACAGATTGAGTGTAGCAGCGACGGCAACTCAGCGTCGAGAAGAGGGGTTTCAAAATGGTATGAAGAAGGTCCGTCTTTAGCTCCCGACGAAGACATGGCTGCCGGAAAAAGGGCTACAGTTGCAGAATCCAAGGAAGAAGAAGAAGAAGAAGAAGAAGAGAATTGAATGAAATTGATTGAAGGGAGAAGCAGTTGATATTTAGCAGTTGAAATTGCAAAGATATTTTGGTTGGTGGGGTAACGCAATTGAAAAATGTCACTTTTTCAATATCATTTTTTCCTTTTTATTTATTTATTTATTTTAAATAAATACCCAAAATTAGGAATATTTTCTTTTTCTATTTTTGGGTTGAATTAAATTATTTGGATTCATATAATTTTTTTCAGATGTCTCACATGTGACAAAATAATAAAATGATTTATGTAATATTTAAAAATAAAAAAATCATATATTTATTTATTTTTTCAATATTTTAAGACAAAACTGTAATTTTTTTTAAAAAATAACGATATATAATGAGCAAATTAATATTATAAGCATAAGATAAATGCATTTTTCTTTTAAGTATTTTTTACCTTTTTTTATATAATCATTTGCTTTTATTGAAATTAAAATAATATTTATAATTTATTTAAAATAAAAAAATGTGGTAATTTAAATATAATTCAATTAGTTAAATATATTAGGAAAAGAAAAGAAAATGGTACGGCCGTAGCTTCTAGAAACGCAAAATATCAAGCGGACGAATAAAATATATTTATATTGCCACGTGGCACAAAATGACGCGCATGCAATGGTTGGGTGACTAAGAGAGCTCCACGTCAAGGTAAATCAATGTCTATGGGACCCATCATAGCTTCACCAAATAAAAAATAAATAAATAATCCCTTTCAAAACCTTCAATTATAACCTAAACTTTGATATTTGTATTACTTAGAATTCAAATAAATAAATAATCGTATCAAATTATATTATAAAGTTTCTATCTTTATTATATGTTAACGCATAATGACCTAAATAAATTTATTATTGTTTCAAAAATTTACTAAAATAACAAAAATAAATAAAGAAAAAATACAAAGAAGAAAAAAAAAAGGAAAATTAATGTCTAATAATTTTAAAATAAAATTTAATGTACATTTTTAAGTGACACGACGCATGCATCGTTAAAACAATAAGAACACGAAATAAATTCCACTATTTATTTATTTATTTATTTTAACCATCAACATCAACTCCCAAACCATATTCTCTCATATTTTTCTATTTATTATTATTATTATTTCAATAATGATGGGCTACATACTAAAAATATAAATAAATAAATAAAACAGTGATTGGTTACTACTTTCTATTTTATAATTTTTTATACATTAAAAAATTATGAGATGAAATGCTATTTTTGTTTGATTTTAAATTATTAACTTTTGAGATAATAATTTTACTAAAATATATATAACATATAATAATTGTTAATAAATAATAGTTATGTTTTAAAATTTTATAAATTAATATATATATATATATATATATATATATATATTAGAAGGGTTAATTTTTTTTATTTTTTTTTAGAAAAGAATGAACATTAAATTTTATGACAAAAAAATCTACATTTCAAAGAAGCTAAAAAAGACTGAAAAAATCATCAAATAATTTTACGTGGCCACGTGGCAATATAAAATGACATACGTACATGACGGGTAGTTGGGTGACTTAGAGAGCTCCACGTCAGAGATGACAAAAATATCATGCAAGTTATGAAGTAATATGAAGTTGCCACGTGGTAATTTAGCATGCACAAATCATGCCACGTGTGAAAATCATTGGGTGATTGAGAGAGCTCCACGTCAGTGAGGAGAAAAGGAAAATATTATTTGTAAGAAGTCAAAATCCGATGTGTATTTCACAAACTAAACTAATATTTTGTATCTTTGACTGAATAAAAATTAAAATAAAATGTTTCTATTTCTTATGAATTATAGAAAATGAAATTTATTAAGAAATTAGAAAAAGAAAAAACAATATTTGTCACGTTTCTATTTTCTTTAAAATTCAAAATTTAAGATTTGCCAGGTTGTCTATATTTTAGTGACAACTATAGTCACTATCAATTCGAGAATCTGATCAATCTAGACTATCTAACTCAAAATATAAAAGTTAGGTTGGGTTAGGCTATTTTCGATTTGATTTGGGTTGATTTTTTGGAAAATTGAAAAATTTGAGTTGGTCGTAGGCTGAAGTTTTTTTTTTTTTTTTGGGTCAACCCGACTAATTCGAAAATAGAGTTACTAACTAATCCTATCCTATTTTTAAGATTATTATGAAGATTAAAAATATTAAACATTTGTAACTTATGTTAATGATGCGTTGTGACTTGTGAAGTTTAATATTTGAATTTTATAAGATTTTAGTTATTAATATAAAATGATACATCAGTTGATTTTTTTAAAAAAATAATTAAAAAAATCCGACAACCTAATCTAACCCAACTAAAAAAATAGAGGGTTCGTTAAGGTTGAGCTCTATTTGAGTTGTTCAGGTCAACTTTCGAGTTTGATCCAAACAATTTCGCAATTAAAACAAGAAGAAACAAATAGAAAAGGAAATAAAATTTATTTACATTTTAATTTTGTTCTAAAATTTAAATAGATTTTATTTTTTAATAATTTCCAGAAAAAACAAATATCATTTTTTTTTAAAAAAAATCTTATTTCATACATATATTTTAAATTCACTAAAAATAAATGAATATATATATTTTTAAATTTTCAAAACAAAACTCCTCCAAATTAATCAATTCTATTCCATAAATTTGTTAAAAGTCAACACCCAAATGATATTTTGACTTTTAAAATATATTATTTTCTAGGTAAATATCTCGACAATACAAAAATTAAAAAAAAAACATTTGACTTAGATTATATTAATACAAATTGGATAGACAATATAATTAATAACTAACCACGTCCAATAATCTCAAGATCTCGACTAATATGAGTATAGCTTAACAGATATAATATAGGTAATGTTATCATCCATTGGATTTCAAAAAGATAGTCGATTCGCTCGATACTAATTGAATCGAAATTTATTAGGTCAATCGATTTTGATTCGACAACCTATTCAAGTTTCTCCCCTTTATACCCCTAATTTGGAAAGAGAATACCACGAGAAAACTTAAAGGTCGGATAAAGATTCGAACCTTCTACTCATAACCTATATAAACTCGATATGTTTAGTCACTTGCAAATATATATATATCCATATATCCATATTAGACATTCATGAAATTTGATTCCAGCATTTCTTCCCTACTTTTCGAAGAGCAGCACAAAAAAAAAAAAGCATTTATGTGACGAAACATATGATCTACAAGTAACACCTAAACGGGATCGAAACTAGCTAGCTTTGCAATATTGACGGTTTAGCAGTAAGGGAGATGATAGATGTTACCAGATGCAAATGATATGAAATCAGCTCTGGCCCTGACACTGACACCGACACCGACCCCGACCCCGACCCCGGCAGTTGCTTTGGTTCAACTGCACACACCTTTAACAGTCATATTCTCATCAAATATAACAACGAGTTTAAATAAATCACCTCGATTCTCTTTCTCAATCAAAATATCTAATACGAACTTTTGGGATGCACAACCGTAATTCGTCTGCCTGATCAAGAAAACGCGAATCCCTTGCATACTCTCTTGATGAAATAGAGACGGAAAAGTCGTTAGGTGAATAAAGAGACCATCGACTAAAACAGATAAAACTAGACGTTTTTCTAATCCGTTACGAAAGGAAATGCATTCGCGTGAAACTCGGACTAGACTAGAAGAGTTCAAGAGCTGGATGGGTAGTCTTGATTCATAAACAGGCAGCAGAAATTGGAGAAAGATTGACGAATGGATCATACAAAAAGGGGAACTTTAGAGAATTGAACAACCAGAGATGCTAATCAGTACAAGACAATGATGCTGTTTTTAACATCCTGATCTACCAGAACATGAGAATAATGCCATGAATTTTCCTGCAAATCGACCAACATACCGAAAAAAACGAACATTATGCATAGAAAGTAGTCATTTTACTTGCAAAATCATATGACCTACAGTCCTGATGGCATTAGATAAGACCAAACAGGAGCGTTTCTCAGCTGATCGGGTAAAAGAACCCCGTCGAGCGTAGACGTCGATGAGCTGCGTTCTTGCAGTCAATCCCTGGCATAGAAACTTTATTAGAATTGAAGCATCAGTTTTAATATATTTACTTCAGACAAAAGCAAACTACAACAGGAGGAATGGCACATTACAAGGAAGCATTTTGTAGAATCCAAGGCTCAGAATATACAGAATTAGCAAACCTAAGCTCCGAAGTATTGGATCAAATCGTCGTCAACCAAGAAGTCATCGAACGAGCTCGAAACGTCGATTCCAAGATGGAATGGACTGTTAAATGCTCCATAATCTAATGAGAGACTATTGATTGGTGATCCAAACTGTGAATCAACAGGCCTATCTTGTTTGTTGTCGAACGTTTCTTTTATATAGTTGAAATCTCCTCCAATCGTCTCGTCGTTTCTATTTTGTGTTGGCACATGTAATCCTTCCTCCGATCTTAATTGAGGCTCGTTAACAAATTGAGGATGCTGTACATCATAGTTGGAATTATATTCCACTGGTGGATTATAAATATCGTAAGCGCTTTCCTGTTGCACGTCGACATTCTGCATTACGGGATACAACAAAGGCCTTCCATCAACATACATGCTCTGAGTGGAAATTATGTTGATATTATCCGTGGCACTCGTGGAGAACATGTCGAACTGGGGAGCTGGTACGTCTGATCGGACATCCATATCTTTCTCCAGTGGCCTCAAAGCTGTGACAGTATCCTTTTCGGGTTGGTTTCCTGGAATTTCATGTCTACCTAATGGTACATCAGAATGATTTATATCTAGATGAGTATTTCTTGGCTCGACGTTTAATTCTTCCTCGTTCAGTGTTTCATCAGCAGGTTTTGTCATGCCACCACGATGTCTTTTTCTCCGATGCTGTTCACCTTGCTCCTTTACTTGAGCAGGTTGAGGAGCATTGTTGCGTAGATTACTGGATGGCTCAGCATCCACCAATCGATTTCTCCTGTCATCTTTACGAGAAATTGACCCACCATCATCTGCAAGATCAACATCATAGTCACTGTCACTACTAATGGCAGCTTGCTTTCCACCACGACCACCGACCGGTGTCTCTGTAATTTCAGATGCCCCATTATCGCTGCTCGGTTGTCGAATTAGAGATTCCTCTCGGCTTAAAACTCCCAACCATATTGCACTCTCCTTTGCTGTCATCTTGTCTTGTAAGCACTTCGACTGACGTACATGCCTCCTTATCTTTGCAATATCAGGTGACATATGTTTTATCACAGCCGTTAAAACCCCGACCTTCCACATCTTCTTCAAATCATGTGGCTTCTTATAAGGAGGACTAACGCCATGAGATAGCCCGAGTTTTTCCCACCAAGCTTCATTTCCAGAGGGCCACCAAGGTGGAGGGACCCCTTTTTCTAAAGGGTACTTCCGCTGAGGGGGATCACAATGTTGCATCAACGAAGACAAAAGAGACCCGAGTGTCGCATCCTGAAGATCTTGAAGAACGCTCTGGGAATTCCTATTTCCATTTCCATCTGTCTCTCCCTTGGCAAGACATTCTGCTTCATACTTGGCTATGGCAGCCGGCCCGTTCTTATCAAATTTAACCTTTTCTTTCCACCACGCTCGAATGTTATCAGAAGCACCGCTAACCGGTTTCCCCTTTTCTGGAATAATGCCATATACAAATCCCCGAGCTTTACATACTTCCATAAGTTTTAACATGTACTTGAGAATCCCATCTTGAGCTCTAGACATCTTCTTCCTCCGAGCCTGGTCAGACGTATGCTTTGGCTTCTGCTTCTCTGCAGCCTGTTGTGCCGCAATCTTCTGTCGTTCCTTAATCCTTTTAAGCTTGATCCTATCCTTCCACATACGCTTCTCCAAATCCTCGGGTTCAATTTCTTCATCACTAACATCTTTCTCTGCAATATTGTCACACCTTATATCATCAACTTCCATATCCGAACAATATCCCAACGTATCATCAACCATCATAAGATTCTCCATTTAAGATCAGATATCTGTTTTGCTGCTAGTAAGAGATCACAGAAAGAACGCAACAAACTCAGAATTTTATTGGCTATATCGATTCAATAAGCATTCTCCTACAAAATTTCAATCTGTAAACGCATCTCAATTAGCAGAATCAAATATCCATCAATCAGAAAGACCCTTTAATCACATCAATCGATATCTCCAGCAGCCGCAAAAGATCAAAACGAACAAAAAGATTAAACTATTACAGAGATGAAAAACAAAAATCGCGAAACAAGAACTTCCCAAATCTCAACAATCAGCAGATTAGAATTTCCATCAAATTACAGCCAAATCAACACGACCCAGATAAAAAAAATCCAACAGTTTCTCAACTTACTCAGGAAAGAAACAGGAAAACAAACCAAATTGAATCACAGGGCAGGTGGGAAAGTTCAAAATCTTACCAAATATCGAGTCCAATAGCGAAACCTAAGGATGAACAGACATAGAAATCGAAACCCCAGAAAGCGAAAATGGATTAACGAGAACAATAGGGTCTCATAAGCCCTTGAATGCTCGAAAGAAGGCGACAACGAGCAGATGGGCGCAAAAGAAAGGGAATAAAACGTGAAAAGAGGGATTAAAGACGAAAAGGCTACAGAATTACTGGAAATCGGATGCAAATTGAGGGAGAGAAAGGGAGTGGGGAAGAACAAAACGAAAAGGGGTTTTAGAACAAAAAGAAGTAAATAGATCAAATGAACAAAAAAAGGAGGAGCGAGAGAGACATTCTACGCAGCCAGATACGGATGAATGGTCAAGGAGCTGCGATTAAGTTGCCAACTTTTTTCTTTTCATTTTCTTTTAACTCTCGAAGAACCCAAATTCTCAAACTTTTTCATCAAATCAACAATCACATTGGGAAGAACCAAAAAAAAAAAAAATAATAATAACAGTTTTTTCGCTAAATTTTTGTAATAAATTGTGGGAATTTTTTCTAAATAATTCTTCCAATGGAAACTATTAATACTTGAAAATTAAGACAAATTTTGTACAATTAAAATTACAAGATAATTTTTTTGGGTAAGATTTTAGGAGAAAAGTAGTTTTATTTATAAAACTTAAAATTGATTTTTATGGTAAAAATAAATTTAAAAAAAGAAAAAAAGAAAAAAAGTAGAACACGTCACACTCAGACTGGTAAATTATTTAGTGCCATGAATGAATTCCAGGTGTTCTGCATTACACAATTTAATCATTTTATAGTAATAATAACATTTAATGAAAATAAGAAAATAATTTTCACATTAAGTGGGTGTTTGTGTTTTTTAAGAATATGTAAACACTAATTTGTGAATTTAAAATGTGATTTGATGAGGTTAAATTAGTAATTGACTTTAAAATCTCTTTTTGATGGGGTGTTTTTAAAATATAAAAAATGGTTTTGGACCCACTTTCCATTTTAAAATATAAAAAAATATTCAATTTGTATTTAGCCCTAATAACCCAACATTACTATATTATCTACTTTACTTAAACTATTTTTAAGAAGCCAAAAGCACTAATCATGTCTTCTAATAAAAAACTGGAGGGAGGAGTAGATGGTCAAACACAGCTTTTACGAGGGAATAGATGGTCAAATTTGTTGTAACGCCTCATGCTCAGTATTTGAGTCGGGATTTGGAATACGTATTTAGCACCTAATAGCCCAACATTTCTGTACGACATGACCACATTATCTATTTAACTTAAACTATTTTTAAGAGACGAAAAACACTAATCATGATCGTCTAATAAAAAGCTTGTAAAACCAACCCAATAAGAGGTCTCAATTTTTTGAAATGAACTTTACGAAACAACTCTTCAAACTTATTATGTGATAAAACTCAATAACGAAGGTACAATATATCACCTTTATCACAAGTGCATAAAAGAAGTAGAAAAGTGAATGGAGTAAGACTTCCTTTCAACCACAGGGTGAGGCGCTAGTGAATACCTTTCAATTCGTACTATAATGATAGTCGAAGTGCATGCAAAGAAAAAGTTGATCAAGTTCTTTAGTAAAAAAAAATAATAATAAGGAGATAAAAAAAAGTTTGTTGTCATTCCAACCGTATTTAATCAAGAGCGAATTTTACATACAAGTCAAAAACTTGTAGTAAGCACAAAGAGAACCAATAAATAAAACATGTTAGCTAGAACACCTTAATAATGATAGATTAGTCTTATTAGATGAGCCTAGGAGCCAAGGTAATGATCGAGCCTAAGAGCCAAGGTAATGATTGGATCGAGGATTCGATCCGAGTCCAAAAACTTATAAATAACCTGTTACATGTAAAACTTAAGATATACTAGAAAGATTTTGAATTTGTCAGCTATACTCATCTAGTTTTGTCTTATTTTGAAACTTAATGACGGTGGTTTAAATATAAAACATTTTTTGTAAAATTGATCAGTCTCAGTAATAAGGACAGTGAAACGGGCTTCCCGAGGAGCGGGCGTTACATTCAAGTTCCCTAAGCAACTTGTACAGCCATGAAAAAAAAATGATATTTGTAGCAAGAGAAGAGAAGGCAACAAGATGAAGCGATGATGAATATTAAGAAAGCTTAACATGTAACTCAAAGAGGTAGCAGAAATCTTCTAACTATGCTAGATCCATCAAATGCTAAGCTAATTCACATGAACATAAATATGAAAAAAATGACTTTCTATTTAGGTATTGGCAATGAAGTTGAGAGTTTATGTACCTGAACGATGAAGGCAGAGAGTTTGAAGGTGTGGCTACGCAGATTAGCAGATAAACAACAAACGCTACCAGTAATCGTTACACGAACAAGCTCCATCTTTAAAGTGATGATATCTAATTCGGTCCCTTACAACAATCTCCCTATCGTATACCTTGGAAATGAACTTTATAGCTTGATGACAGTCTCCACATACTCTCAAGTTCTTCACAATGCGAATTGGAGTTCTAGGTGCGGTGTTCATCAACCCAAAGGCAATAGCCAGCTTCTCACTGTGCTTCAACAGAGCTGTTTCTCTGTCCTCATCATCATCGATATCCAGCAAAACTTCTCCGGATTCAGGGATGTAACCAGCCATCTTCAACTTGGTGGTCATCTCATCCAATAACATATACAGCTCTTTAGTTTGAGGATGGGACCGATCGCCTACGAGAAATTGATGGAACGTCCCGTTCAACTCGATGGAGCTGCAACCAGGAGTCTTCTTTTTCCCACTTACTGCAATTTTCTCCCTTAATGTCCTGGCTTCATTCCAATTCCCAGTCAAGGAATACATATTTGCTAATAAAACATGGCAACCCAGATGGTCAGAATCCAGCTCTGTAACAATTTTCCCAATTCTCTCTCCCATTTCAATATCCTTATGGGTTTTGCAAGCACTAAGTAATGCGCCCCAGATAGCTACATCTGCTGTCATAGGCATACTTGATATGATCTCTTCGGCTTCCTTCAAGCGTCCCGAACGTCCCAGTAGATCCACCATGCATCCATAATGCTCTAACTCAGGCTCGACTCCATAGAGACCGGCCATTGATTCAAAATAGCGTCTTCCTTCTTCAACTCTATTGCCATGACTGCAAGCATTTAACAAAGCAACAAATGTAACTTTGTTGGGAGAAACTTTTTCAACCTTCATTTGTTCAAAAACCTCAATTGCTTCCTTAGATTTCCCATGCATTGCAAACCCACCAATCATGGCATTCCAAGGCCAAACCTTCCGAATCGACATCCGTTCACTGTTGAAAAGCTTCAAGGCAAACTCTAACTCACCACATTTTACATACATGTCAATGAGTCCGGCTAGCAACCGATCATTCAACTGTATCTCATTCTTTCGAATATAAACATGCATCCATCTTCCTTGGTCCAACGCCACAAGATTAGCACAAGCTGCAAGGGCACTGGCCAACGTGTACTCATTTAGGCCCACCCCTTTTTGCAGCATCTTGTGGAAGATATCCAAAGCCCCCATGAAATGACCAACCTATGGATGAAGATCATATTTCAGCCTTTATGAAGCATAAATATCCCTGCTAGAACTAAACCCAACTCATATTACACTGAGTAATTGCTTACCATTTGATTTCCCCGCAGAGGCATGTTTGAGGAAACCAGACAGAAACATGCTTCTGTCCGCAAAGACAGTAAAAATGGCTTCTCATTATGGCATAGCGTATACCGTAGGTAGCATAGTATTACTGTGCCAAGAAGTAATTAAAATCATAGAACGTTAATGGTTTGTTAAAATCCCAAACATTGTGACCCTTAAGTTCCTATACTGTGGTTGTATTTTATCTAGTTTCACGACTAATTTACAGCCACAAACTCAACATGAACATATCTTAATTGGTCATGACAGAAATCCAAAATGAAAAGACAGAACTTATAACTTATCCTTTTAATTAAAAAGATTAAAAAAAACTGAATGCAGTTGTGTTTTTATCAAATTACCTGGACACATCCAGCAATCATTGTTGTCCACGACACAACATCTCTTTCAGGCATTTCATCAAACAGTTCCCGAGCATCATCCATTTTCCCCAATTTCGCATACCCACTAAGCATGATATTCCACGAGTACATATCTCTAATTGTGCTCCAATCAAACACCTTTCTAGCATCCCCAACAAACCCCAAATTCACATACATCCCAATCAACGCATTCATCACAAACAAATTATTCTCCAAACCAAGTTTAACAGCATGAACACGAACTTGCTCCCCTTCCAAAACCCCAACAGCATTGCCACACCCCTTGAAGGCAAATGCAAAAGAATACTGATTGGGCACTAAACTTCCATCGCGGATCAGAGAACGAAACCTTGTGAAGGAATCTGCAGAGGAAGTGGCTGAAATCGCGTGGGCTTTGATGATGGTGTTGTAGAGGAAGAGATCTGGTTGGGGAAAATGATCGAACACCATTTGGGCATAAGAAATAGAACCAAATCTGGAGAAGGAAAGAAGTTTTAGAAGTTTGTTAGTGGCAATTGGGTGTAGAACAAGACCAGTAGTGATCAGTTGAGCATGGGTTTGTTTGATTTGGTGGATTGATTTGCAGAAATCGAGCAAAAAGAAGAGCTTAGAGGTGAAATCGTATCGTATCATTTTTCTAAAGGCAGGGACTTACTGAAGAAGCTTGAAGAACAGTCCCCTAAGAGCAGCAATGGCGGCCCTGCATTTCGCCATGTTGAGTTCAATATTGTTTTGACGTTCTAAATAAATGTGATTTTAATTATTGGCAATATTAATATATATATATATATATATATTATTATTATTATTATTATTTTACTTTTATTTTACAATTTATATACTTAATAAATATATTTAGTCGATAATATTCTTAAGAATATCTATAGAGTATTTTTAAATGTGAGTTATATTATTATTATTAAAAAAAAATTCTTTAATATTTTTTAAAATTAGATAAAAATAAAATAAAATAGTCAAGTAACTCGAAATTTTTAAATAATTATATATATAAATATATATTTAGTGCTCGACATATCTTCCGAGTTTTTCAGAGCTCCATTTTATCAACATCAATATTTTCATCATCGAGCATATTCAAGAATGAGATTATTGGAAAGCTTTTTCAGTCGTTAATGGCTCATCTTCTTCACTAAAAGAGTAGCAGTCATAGTCAGCAGCTCTAGCGTTTGAGGAAAGTCTCGAACCAGTGAGCTGACTTTTTAGGGTATCTTTTCATCCCATCTTTATAGTCAACAAAGTTGATGCCAAATCTGACCGTATAGCCATCCGACCATTCGAAGTTATCCAACAACGACCAAGCAAAATACCCTTCGACTCTCAAGCCATCCCTTCACAAATTTGCACCATTTTTGTGAGCGATAGTACATAAACGGGAAAAATGAGAGAGATTTGAGCTGAGAAAGGCTTACTCGATGGCTTTATGTAGGAAATAGAGATGAGATCGATGGTAATCGATTCTAAAGTTGTCTATAAGTGCTTCCTTTAGGGAGAGAGTGATATTGTTAAACTCGTCGACTCCTACAAAAGAAAAGCATTTTGAATGTAGTTCTTATCTTAAGCAAAAGTTATGTGAAAAGCCGATCGTTAACGTACCGTTTTCTGTAATGTAGATGACGGGATTGTTATACTTTGCTTTTATATATAGAAGCAGGTCATGAATGCCTCTAGGGTAAACCGCGAGCCAAGGGGAAGCGGCGATTGGGCCGATGGGAACTCCGTTGCGCTTGGTTGAGAGACTGGTACGAGCATCGGAGAAGTAGGTTGCACGATTAGCATTGGGGGGTGGAGTGTATTGGGCGTAATTGGTAGTGTAGTAGTTAAATCCAAGAAAATCGAACGACCCTTTCACTAACTCGAATTGTTCTTTTGTGAAGTTTGGGAGTCTCTTCCCCACGAGGGATTTCATGCTCTTTGGATAATCTCCAAACGTCAATGGATTCATGAACCTGTTTTTCAAGAACAATAATTATAAAAAATTATTTTGTTTTTTATATTTTTAAAAAATTTAAGTGTATTATTAAATTTAAAAAAATATTTTAAAACAAATTACAAAGATTATAAATATTTTTATTAATTTAATTATTTAAAATAATAATAATAATAATAATAATAATAATCTTACCAGCCAAGCATGAAATCAAGAGCTCTATAAGCAGCTTTGCGCTGTTTTCTTGCATTTGAAACTGGAACAAACCAGTGGGACACTAGCGTTATTCCTATCAAACCCTTCTGAGATTTCTGCAAATAATTTTAATTATAAATAATCCCATTAATATAATATATATATACATATATATATATATAGATGTAACAAAATATAAGACCTGATATTTTTCCCGATAAAGCTCGACGGCGGTAGCATGAGCAAGAATTTGATAGTGAGCGACCCGATACGGCTCAGTAGCAGCATCGCCGCCACTGCAACTCAAGTTCTGCCACCACGAGCATCGATTTGGGGCAAGTATGCCCAACGCATATCCACCCATGCTATAAGACCACGGCTCGTTTAAGCTAATCCAATGCTTCACTCGATCTCCGAACGCTTTGAAGCAAACTTCCGCATACTCTTTAAAATCATCCCTTTTACGTTCAAATCATTCAATATAATTATTTAAATAACATTATATTCTTTAAATAAATTAATTAAAAAAATTGTTACTTACACAATACGAGGGCTCAAGAAACCACCGTATTCGTCTTCTAAAGCTTGGGGAAGATCCCAATGGAAGAGTGTAACAAATGGCTCGATTCCTGTATTTCGTATTTATATCGGGTTAAAATTACTTTTATTATCTCGAAAGCTACTAAAAATTGAATGACCCGAGAACCTTTAGCTAGTAGCTCGTTTATAAGATTGTTGTAGTACTGAATTCCTTTACGGTTTACTCCTCCGCTAAGCTTTCCTTCTGTCGGAATAGAATCAAGTATGGATTGAAATTCATACGCGAAGAACGTTCATCGAGTAATATTTATTTTTAAAATAACCCAAATTATTAAAATAAAAAAAAAGACTTACTTGGGAGGATTCTAGACCAAGAAATTGAAAATCTATAAGCATCTAAATTCATCTTCTTCATAATCCCAACATCTTCCTGTTAAACCATAAGATAATTAATTAATTAATTAATTAATTAATTAGCTAATTAATAATATATATATATTTTTTAATGGTCACGTGCACTTTACCTTATAGCGATGGTATGCATCATTGGCTATATCTCCACTACTCCCATCTTTAATTTTGCCTGCCATTAATCCCAATATGTATTAATATATTATTTATGAAAAATGATTAGCAACCTATCAAAATAATAATAATAATAATAATAATAAAATAATAAATAATTTTTTGATTTAATGTTTTTTTTAATAGAATGAGGGACGGTAGACTCGTCAAATAGGCTCAGTGTTCCTTAAATGCACTAGCACGGATCAATTCGAGTCTAGTAAATTAAGGTAGTTTGATTGTTGTGATCGATGACTGAGCACTATATGGAATGACTAATTGTTCCCACCACGTGCATTCCTAGAGATTATTCAAATCAAGAACGCACTAATTCGACTACTATAGGTATTGGACTGTGGATGGGGTTAATGTTATAGGTTGACCCAAGACGGGTCAAATAAGCTAGGGTCTACAAAGACCCATCAAATTTATTGGCTTGAATCAATCTGAACATAGTGATTATCGATTGTATGAACTTGGATTAAGGATCTGTTCAGCTATTTCATCGAGAAAATATGACACATATTTAGAAGGAAAAATGTAATGATAGAGGATTCACGTTATATCAATTCAATGGTCCCACGTGTTTTTTTGTATTGACTTAAATGGGTCCACTTGGACAATTCATAATGATTATTAATTTCAAACGTTTTTTTATATATAAAATAATGTTTCAAATTTGAATTTGTTGATTATATTATAAATAGATTAAGTAGAATATTAGAAAATAAGATTTCTTTGACTTTGACTTTGACTGATATCATGTCGAGATCTGTACAAAAACTATATAGTTTATGAATACTTTTTAACTTTTATATTTGTTACGAATATATACTAAAAAATCAATTTTTTTAATTTTGTAATTATTTAATATAAAATTTTTTATTTACGAAAATTCAAATTTTCATATGTTCATTTTTTTCTAAACAAAAAGAAGACATGAATAAAATCGATGAAACGAAAGTGACTCTAAAGAGACAACGAATGATGGGTTTTGCTTTATAAGGAGACGTTATCAAGTCTATAACACTTCATACCCTCTAAGCGAAAATAAAGAATATTTAAAGTTAGAACGGGATAAGATTATGATGATCACATTGAATAATTAATCGAGAAAAAAACAAGACCTGGGTATTTGTGTGTGAATGTATCCCAAATACTCGGCCCTCGACCATCTGTATTAGCAGCACCTTCATACTAAGAATCAAACAACAAATTAAACAAACAAACAACTCGAACACTTGACAATGCCAGCAAATCGTTATCTCAAACTCACTTGGTAAGCTGACGAAGCTGTCCCAAACACAAACCGTTGTGGGAAACAACTTCTGTTCAAGCTGAACTCAACGCCATGGCTAGGGTTTCCACTAGCACGAACAAGAACAAGAACACGAAGAACGATAAGAACGAGAAGAACGAGAAGAACGAGTTTTCCCATGGCTAGGGTTTTCTTTCACACATAAAACCCACCACAAAAAATGACAGCTTTATAATGGGGAAGAAGAACCAATGATCAAAGTTGAAGGATTCCACTTTTGACAGCCTTGTCTTTGTTCTTTGTTTTCGACAACGACAAAAACCAGACAAACCCACTGATGATGTCTAAATTTAGCGGGAAACCCTTTTTTAAAATTTATTTTATTTATTTTTTTTGACCTAAATGGATAAATATCTCATCTCCCATTGTGTATAAAGATGGGTTTTGTGTGGTTGTTAAGAAAATGTAATTACTTAAAATACCCGGTTAAACGGATGTTTAGATTTGAAGTGTTTTTAACACGGGACTCGAGTTAAGTCTGTACATGTAAAAGTTGAAAGCTTGTCAAATTTGATATCAATTGAACACACGAACGCTTCACAAGATCATAAAGTCTGTAGATTTGAAAGATGAAAGCTTATCAAATTTGAAGTTAATTGGACAACTAGACGAACGCTCTGTAAGACCATATGATCATTCACTAAAATGACGTAAAAGTCTCTTACACGGTGTCAGTTTTCCACCACCTAAAATATATTTTGATCTAAAAAATATGGTTGTCGGTGGTGGACACATCGACGTTGCTAAACTTCTCGAATTCAAATTATTTCCTAATTTTGTGTTTAGAAAGGAAAATAAGAAACCCTTTTCTAGCTTGTGTAAATTTTTAGTATTTGAATATTTAATTATTATAAAGTCTGAAATTCTTCTGGTTGTTTCTATTTTGGAATTTGCTTTTAAGTCCTCAATTTCATTTAATTTATATTATTGACCTTTGACCAAGTCCAAACAATAATTCAACTCCATTTGGTAGCTTCTAATAAATAAAAACATTATTTATATATATATATATACATACGATAGAGTTTATATAACACATACCGAAGCAATTTGAATTTTAGACACTCTTAGAACATCAATTATAATAAATAACTAGCATGTTCATAAGTATTAAAATTCAGAGTGTTTGAGTGCTAACCATTTGTAGTTCAAATTTCTTTTTCCTCACGAACCGATTTCGAACCACCACTAGTGTCTTCTCCACTATTCTCCGGCCTTAAACCCTAAACCCTGAACCCTAAACCAAACTTGATCACTCTAAATCATATTTGCATGTTCATGCAAATTTAAAATCACCAAATTTTGACACTCAAAATTTCACTAAAATTTGCGGGATTTATTGGGAAAGCATGCAAGTTTGGTAACACCAAATTTTGACACCTCAAAATTCCACTAACTCAAACATGGATTTTTATATTGAGTGAAGTCAACCTTTTGACTTTTTTCCTTTTAATTCAACCATTAATTTTAAATTAAAGTAATATTAAATGATTAATTAAACTATTTAATTAATTTTAATATTAATTTAAATGTCAATCCCAATCCATTCGGACACATATTTGATTAAAATATTTAAATCTTATTTAAATATCTCATATTCTCTCTTTTTGCTTAATTCGTAAATAAAACAAAAAATGCGGTTAAATATATCGTATATATGTAGCGCATATTCTCTAATTTGAATTCGAACACTTCGAACTCACTCGTCACACTGTTCTATGGTTTAGTCTGATATGAGCTAGTAGAGGGATCTAATGGACCTATAGATCATGGGCTCCAACGATCCAAGATTAACCGGTTAAATTCATTAACCTTGTTAACCAAGGTTCGTTAACTACTAGGACACTCCACTATAACCTAGTAGTTGCACTCCTCTCACTATAGATATATTTCTATCCATTTAATATAATCATGATCAGTAAGTCGATCATTCACAGGTTGTTCGTAACTAGAGCTGGGTCAATTTACCGTTTTACCCTTGAAGTTACTTCTTGTTCCTTATGTCCCACTGATCCTCTAATGAACAATTGGTTTGTGGTCCAACCAGTAAACTGAATCCTGAGAGGGTAGGGCCCTTTGTTCAAGACCTGGAGTTAATACTTAAGGGAACTATCTCTCTTCTATCCCTAAAAAGTGGGTAGGAGTGCATTCCATCTTGCACCCCACGTCCTTAGCCATTCACCCAATCTTACCCCTGAAATGGGAGGCCTATTGAGTCGGCGAACTCGAGCCACTCTCACCCATGCAAATCTAAGGATAATTTCGAATAAACAGAAGTTCATGGTTAGCTCAGGATTAAGATCGAGTTACCTAGTTCATCGAATGAAAAGAAAATCAATCTCAACAGTAAACGACATTATAAAGTGAGAGTGATTTTCTTCATGGTCCAATATTATGCAATACTCATTGCATAGGACGCCCCCACTCACATGTCTCCCCATGTACAATTTAGTGATCACATTGTTTATGTCATATACAAAAGTGGGCCGCATCCATAGTGTCCCCAGGATAAGGTACTCGACCTTATCCATGTACTATAGATCATTTTGACTATATACTTGAACTTGATCCACTCTTATGTCTCTACATATAGTTAGTAATCATACTATAGTCAGCGTGTTCTTAGTTTAGGGTTTAGGGTTTAGGGTTTAGGACATAAAACCCAACAACATATATATTCGCCAAGTGTGAAATCCCATTGTATTCGAGTAGTCAAGGATTTGCTGGAAATTTTGGATCGAAGAAGAGACAGATCTAAATATGGTGCAGAAAAACCTAAATCGATATGAATGGAAGATGTCTCGTTCACTTGTTTTTCTCGGTCAGTCGAGGGAACAACCACAATGTTACGCCCCAAAATCGAACTATACAGACCCCTTTCGAATGACCTCTCATGGAGTCTGCTACACTAGCCAAGAAAGAGTGTATTAGACTCTATTCGCCCGTGGAGGTGAGTGGAGGAAGAATAAAAAAAGAGAAAGGTATTGCAACTAACAAATAGTTGCTCGTTCATAAATTCAATTGACCACTTGTTAGTCTTGTTACACTACATGACACGAGTGACGGGTGAAGTTGAAGCAGACACGGTGTTCAGTCGACTTTTATATATATATATATACTCTCGACTAAGAAATTAAAGGATTGAATTTCTTTTGTTGATTGTTTGATCAAAACAATATCGTCAAAACTCATGCATTACTTTTTCTTTTCTAACTTTCAAGACACCACCAACCATTCTCAATTAATGAAGCGTTTGATTGATGCCTAAACGAATTAGATATCATGTTTGGTTTGACTTAATTTTTTATTTATTTTTATTTTGTCCATTCTCATCTATCATCTTTATCATTATCATATCGACACATTTTTTTTAATGTTACTGTAAGTTTCTAATGGACAAGTTACATTAGTTGATTATATTAAGGATTTGAGACGAATAAAAGAATGTAAAGAACGAGATGATTTGTTCAAATGGGTAAAAAAGACATTTTACCTATTTTGATAGAATTGAGTATTGAAAATATATAATAAGTAATCTTATGTTCGAGTTAGATATGTATACGTCAACTAATTTGTGACCGTGCTCAAAACATGACCAACGAGCCTGTGGTCTGAAAAATTGACACACAAACCAACCAGCCCTATGGTCACTGGTGACCAAGAGAAAGACAATCATCTTGTGCCTCGGATGATACAATTGAGGCATACTTTTGACAAATAATTACCCAATGTCGTATAGAAATATCATGACATTTCAAACATGCAAATACAATTACATGATAACCACATGCACACATATCTAACCGTTAAAGAACCTAGCCATCCAAATAAGAAAGTGTCTTAGTAACAACACAACCCTCCATTGACTTACACGAGCGAACTTTAGTCCAAATCTTACAAATGTCTTAGAATTAACCTCACAAATTTAGAAGCAAAACCACAATTAATAATCGAAGGGTTTAACGTGTAATCCAAAACTAGGTAATTAATAATCGAAGGGTTTAACGTGTAACCCAAAATTAAGAATCTCATCCTCAACTAGCGATTAACTTCGAACTCCAATGGACTAAACTTTCTCTAACGTGCATAGAGATAGGGCTCAATGATTAGGTTTAATTTAGGTTTTATCGGACAAAACGGACTAGCCAAAGGGTCGGAAAAAAAAAAAAAAAAACCTGCAAAATCCTAGTTTGAGGTCTAGTCGAATCAATCGATAGGTCTCCCCTTATATGCTAAAAAGAAGAAATTCAGTATCGAACCCTTGAAACAACCCGAACACGCCAACCTTTAGCCGATGATGACACAATGCTTCCAGCCGCACTCTATCTTAGGGCTGCGTGCAATGCTTTCTATGACAAAAGCCAAGCCGTTTGGCTTTAATAGCCGATAAATGATGGCACCATAATCAATAGCAACTCTACAAAAATTATTATTATTTTGGTATCTAAAATTTCACAATATAATTTCATCTCTAATTTTTTTTTTTAAAAAAAATTATAAACTTTATGTTTGAAGGAGTTATTGTGTGTTGGCCTTTATGTAGAATCATTCGAGGCTCCAAAAGGCAATAGATTGTCATATAACGAATATCAGCTATTCGAGTTTGTTTATCTCCAACTCGTGAATTTTGCCAATACAAAAGTATATGATAGCACTTCATTCTTTTGATTCATTATCATTGGCCTCTATGGTAGAATCAATCGGAACCCTGAGAGGCGATAGTTTGTCCCATAGCAAATATCAGTTGTTCGAGTTTACTTATCTCCAACTCCAATCTTTCGATTCAACAATTCAATCTAACAAATATATAAAAAACCCGAAGGCCCAAATGAGCAATCTTGAGATTTCAAGAGTGAGGTAAACTTTTTTTTATATTACACGTCATCACCTCACGAAGAACCGAGTAGCTTAGTGTATCTTACACGCGTAGGTTTTGGAGGGCCAATCACTTTTCCACCATGAAGACATTAAGAAAAATGTTTATATTCTCAGACATAATAACATCTCAGAAAGAAAAGGCAACCAAACCACATCTTTTGAGCATCATCAACCCTCACTTTATTCAACACCCTCATCATGCTTCAGTTCTTCAACCCTTCTCAAGAACCCTAATTTGAACAGAATTGAAGCATTTTTTACCAGTGATAACAGATCAAATGAAGAAGAAATGAAGACATTAAAGAATATTGATTCTTAGTTAGATCATGTTGTAATGGAAAAGAAGAGAAGAACAGAAGAAGAAGAAGAAAAGAATATTAAAACCAGCAGAGTGAATCCTGAATTCAACATTTTTTTTTAGAAATAACAAAGGAATGATGATGATGGGAAATAGTTATATGAAGAGGAGGAGATTGAGAACACAAAATATGGTGTAATCTGGAAGATCACTCACTCACTATGCCTCATTTTCTACCTTGAAAAACTAGATTCTTTCAGAGTTGTTTCACTTGCAGTTAACGCCTGCTTCAGCAGCTCGACGGGGCTTGCTTTTTCTCCTGCTTCCGTTGTGGCGAAATCCATTCGATCTGGTTGATTCATCGGTGCTTGATCGTGTTCCGTCTCCATTTTCGTCTTTGACTGGATCGAGCTTTTCTTTCACTTGTGAGCTTCTCCTCCTCCTTTTCCCATTCTCTGCTGCTGCAGCTGGGCTGCTGCTGCTTTTCATCTCCTTGCTCACAATTTCATTGCCTTTCAGGTTCTCGATGTCGTCGTCTTCTATCTTTTCAGCTTCTTCCTCGTCGATCTCGTCCTTCAATGGCTTTTGTGGCCTTCCCCTTCGCTTTTGCGCAGGAATCTTCTCTTCCTCACCACTTCCAGCATCGTCATGATTTGTAACGGTCAACTTCCTCCCCTTTCCTCGACCTCTACCCATCCTCTTTTTAAGAACTCCAAGAACGAAAAAAATCACGCAACAGATGGCCACTGCCAAGCATAAAACATTTACATAGGAAACAATTTCAATTCTCTTACGATACGACACTCATTTAGTAAATAAACACAACAAGCGCGAACATCGTAACCAGATGATAGTTAGTTATATATCAACCAAACCACATCTTTATAAACGCAAAAATAAAGATGCTTGAATTCTCTAGAACTGAGATGAAATTTATGAGGCTTCATCATAAGTTCTTCTGTCATAAATCATGAACTGTAAACATGAAACAATATATATATACAATGGTTTAACACTGTATCAGAGTATGAGCCTCATGCTAGGCTTCGAAATTCAAATTAATATCGAAGTCTACATGAAGATGAGCATTAAGGGTACGATACAAGATCAAATATACTCTAACCTATGAACTTAAGAATTCAGCTCAATGTTGTGCACTCTTAAGTTTAAATCCCTACAATACCATGTCCTCCCAATTTTAGGTTAGAACAAAAATATGTTCTAACCGAGTCGATATGCGTATAGCTCGATCGGTCAAGACATTAAGATTTCAAGTTCAATGTTGTGCACTCTTAAGTTTAATTCCCTACAATACCATGTCCTCCCAACTATAGGTTAAATATGTTCTAGCCGAGTCCATATGAGTATAGTTCGATCGGTCAAGACACTACTTGCCTTCGAAAAGTTTTTAAGGTTCGAATCCTCCATATACTCTAACCTAGAAACTTAAGCTTTTGGGTTCGATGGTAGTTTAGTCGAAAGCAAAATCGAAGTTCATAGAGGATGTTTATTTTACTTGTGCACTCAAGTGGGAGAAATTTGGACAAAGTTCTTGAACTTAAGTTGAGTAACGTAAGCTAGCAGAACACAAAAATCACTTCCCTAGAGTGAAGAAAATAGCTGAATCAAATGCAAAACTAAGTAAGAAAAAAGACATAGCAAGCAATCAGAGCATTCAGAAGAGCTACGAAGGGGGAAATAAAAAAGTTCTGAAAATCTCTTCAGTTCTTGAACAGAACCACAAAGATAAACAAATCTCAATCAGAAAAAGGAAAACCCCCAATTCGAAGCAACAAGATTCTCACAAAACAAACAAATATCAGAATCGATAACAAAAGCGAATAAGAACAATAAAATCCCGCAACAACAGAGACAAACAAGATCCAACAAAACCCAGCAGAATCGGAAAGGCGGAAAGCAAGATTAGAGCAATAAGAAGAGTTGATCGACAAACAAATTCAAGTTCAGAGCGAAGAAAAAGCAGAGAAATAAAAGAAACCTGATAAGAAACGAAGGCCATACGAATCAATGGAAAGAAGCCATTACAGTGAGTGAATCTGCAGAAAACGAAAAGAAAATCACAAAAACAGAGAAGGATTCATGAGGGCGTTGGTGGATTGAAGAGAGGAAAAGTGGAGGATTTGAGAGGCATACAAGCAAATGATCTGAAGATGAAATTGAAAACCGAAACAAGGATTTAAGAAGGATTGGGATATGGGGAACAGTGGGGAAGGCAACTTAAAGACCTGCCCATATGAACAGAGAGAGAGAGAGAGAGAGAAACGCTGTGAATCGAAAGAGATATTTGTTGATAGAATGTGAAGAATTTGGAGCAAAAGTCCCTTGTATTCGTAGGCGTGTCCTTGTAAGAACACTTCAAATTGCAGGGTCACTTTTGTAAATTTCTAATAATTCAAGGACCATTCTATTAAATTCCCCGTGTTCCATTTTCAAAATATAATTATTTATTTGTGTATTTTATTTATGTTTTAATCCAATTTACTATATTCCAATTCGAGTTGATGTGTTTTTTTCTTTTATACGAAGAACTCATCACAATCCCACTTTTGATGGCAACGAACTTGTTATTGTGCGACACTCGCTTTCCAACAACAAGTGAGTTAAGTCAATTCGTTCTTGCGTCACCTCGACCAAGCGACGTATACTCGAGCTTCTGATCCTTGTTCAAGAAGAAAGTTTTTGAAAAATAAGTAGAGAGATTTCGAAAAAGAGTTTTGAAAGCAAGATTTGAGAGACTGAAATTGATGTAATATATGATGCAAGCAAAAAGTAACAACAATTGAATCATTGAATTTTACCATCGTAATTGTTGTTTTTTAAGATGAGATGTTTTGATTTTTTTTTTTTTTTATCGATTAATTTCAAATAAAAAAATATTTATTTTAAATCTCATATTTGACAACAAAAAAAAAAATTGAAATAATTAAATTGGTTAATAATAATTTTTATAAAGCATTTGAGTAAGAATCACTTAAAATTTCTTTATATATATATATACTCTTAAAATAAAATAAATCCAAAATTCACATGAAAAAGCCTAAATTTATCCTCAAATTTAGATTAATGAATTCGTTGAATTAAATCCATCTAAATTTATTTTTAATTAAAAAAAATTGCTTATGGTATCATATTTTATATATATATATATTTAATTTCATAATTAATTTTTGATAATTTATTTCTCCAACAAACATTTGGAAAGGTAATTTTTTTTAAATATATATTCCAACATCTTAATTAAATATTTGAAAAGAAATAAATAGATATTTTACTCATTAATATTTTTTTATTAAATAAACAACTCAAATAACCCGAACCAACTCAAAACTTGTATGGTTAGGTTAGGTTGGGTCGAGTTTATCATTTGACAACTCGAATAATTTAGCTGGGTCTAAAAAATGTCCAAACTCGACCCAATCCAACCCACGAATAACCTTAAAATCTATCCTTAAAAAAGGTAGAGGTGTCGGACTCAATAATAATTGATATATACATCGAAGTCATAATTCAAATCTCTTTCAAATATCGTTAATTAAAAAAATGCATTTAAAAATAAAAATATAATTTATTTAAAAAAAAAAAAAAGAAAAAAACTATATTATACATTAAAATATTATGTGTGGCTGAGATTGAACCAAAGCAAGCCTCTATAATTTTATTAAAAAAATATATTATATTTATTTATAATATTTTATTATATTTAATTTTTTTATTTTCATTATACCCATAACGAAAAATAATTTTTTTGGCTTCATTTAATTATTTTCTGACAAAATTAAATAATGTGTACATTATAATATACGGCTGCAGATATTATTTTTTGATATTATTGCTACCTCAAACGTCTATATTAATCAATCATTTTTGCAGTATTACATTGAATAGAAATTCGAGTCTCTGACCTTTTAATCGAGTTCATGTATTTTATGTCAGATGAACTATTCTCATATTGGTTATTTTACGGGAAGTAAAAAGTTGGTTGGTTTTTTTTTAAAAAAATTTAGATTGATTGAGGTCGCTTCTGCATATACGTTGAAAGCTCGTGAAAACAGCTATGAGAGAGAACATTTTATTTAAAGACGTTAATATTATTTATTAGGGTTTTCAATGAAAACGGTGCAAAACGTGTAATAGGAAAGCTAGTAAACAACCTTAGTCACTCGCCTTATATGTCGTTGTTTTTACCTAAAAAATGTTTTGGAAAAGGTGACTTCACTTTTAGGGTTTGGCTATGCAATCACGTGTAAACGGCTTATACCAACTTACTATAATAAGACCTAAAACTTAATCCGTTGGGGTTTTTTTTTCTTTTCTTTGAGACGTGCATCAGTTTTGTGCACTCTACGTCTCCCTAGGTATGCAATGCTTTCTTGTATAGATATACCGACTCTATGTGTATCAATTTCATGTTTGCTGAACATATATCATTTATAAAAGAAGGGAATTGTTTTAAGATTTCACAATAGTATACATGGTGTCACGGTCATGTTTGGGCAAAGCGTGTTGCATGTGGTCACATGTTAGATGTTCCGGTCATGCTTGTCCAAAGTGTGTTGTCCTGTTCCGAACCTCTTTTACTTGCTACCATGTGTAGTCAAGTCTTTGCTATTCATGGCATGTCAATATGGGGTGTGTGATTATTCACCAAAATCATGCTACACTCGTAACGGTTAAAATGCCTCAAAATGTACTATAATGGGATGTGACTAGTCAATTCTTCTTATTCGGGTTATATACTATCATCAAAGCACGATTGTTGTTTATTCACTTTTAGCCTATAATTTTGCCTTCTCAAACGACTTCCAATGCATTTCCTCGCTCACGTTTTATGAAACATTTGTTTGCCAAACGTGACTCAAGACTCGATCTTATGTCAAAATTATCTACAAAGTTCGATTTTCACACGGCTAACTTATTCGTCGGATTAGAACAAGTATCACATAATTGTTATCTTGTTGCTACAAGAGCGTGATTATGAGACATGACATACATACTTTCCTGTCTGATCGCATGATATTATTTTTTATCCTTAATATTATTAAAAATTAACTATTTTAATCTCAAAACTTTGAAATAGAATCTGAATAACATAAGTGTTTGCAGAACTTCAATGGTAGGATTCTCTTCCACCTGAGTTCTACTATAACCAAATAGCTTGATAAAACAACAAACCCCCACGTCTCCGAGAGAGGGCCGAGCTGTGTTTCTCCAACGACGTAGAAAATGAACTCGGGTGGGCTCGGGGCGAACCATTGCTCTTCTGCAACTTCTTCACTAGGGAGAGCTTCCTTAGTCCCCCTTCTTAAAGATGGTGATAGGTAAGTGTGTGACTAGTTACTTATTACCATCAACCTCATGGTTTTAAAAATGCATTTATTAGGGAGAGATTTTAACACATTTGTAAGAAATGCTTTTGTTCCCCTCTCCACCCAATGTGGGATCTCACAATCCACCTCCTTTGGGCGCCCGACGTTCTCACTAGCACATTGTCCGATGTGTTTTGGTCCGTTACGTATCGTCATTAGTCTTGCCGTTCTAAAACTTGTTTACTAGGGAGAAGTTGCCACACCCTTATAACGAATGCTTCATTGTTCTCTCCAGCGGATGTGGGATCTCGGAAGTGTAATCCCACAACTTCAACAGCTCCAATCTTCCTACCTCCAACACAAACTCCAGTTCCTACCTTCCTTCCCCCAGCAGCTCTAGCTTTCACTCCATACAAAGATGTCAAACAGACTTGAGAGACATTCATCGAACACCTCACAACCATAAACCAAAAACTAACCAAAGAAATCCAAACCCCAAAATGCAATGAGCGCAAAAAAAAAAAAAAAAAAAAAAAAAAAAGTTTTTGGGTCTGTCAGACCGCCCATGCGACCATCCCAGCCGTACCGTATCGGCCAAGAACGATCCTCTACAGCCGCAGGACCTAAAGTTCATTGAGCCGTTAATCACGCTCTAATCACAGGGTAGTGGTTCATCCACCAGACTTTAGTTCTTGTCTCCTTAGAACTCAAGGACACAGTTGTACAACCTATAGAACAGATCCTGTTCAAGTAAGGTCGTGCCCTATTTGCTTCCTCTCTTCGTTTAAATACTATCGATCCAAGCTGACACTTTCCAATGTGGGATATGACTACTTTGATTTAGGCCTAGAAATAATCTGGCTGGTGACTCTAATATCTATATTATTTACCATTTATAAAAAAAAATCTCAAATTCTAATTTAAAGTTTAAAGGATTATTTTTTATTTTCGCAAAATTTGCAAAACATTTTTTTTTTATCGTATTTGCTAAAAAAAATATAAATTTTATTTCTTTTAACTTTTTGATTTGTGTCTATCTAATTGAGTAGTTTGGTCTATAAATTTTAAGACTTAATTTTTATTTGTGTATCTAATATGTTATTTTATCTATTCAATATTTTAAAATTTCACGAATCTATTAGACACAAAATTAAAAGTTTAAAATTTTATTATACAAACACTCAAAATTAAACGAGCACTATATGACTCAAAATTCCCTTTTCTCGACTTTCATTCACATAGTGAAAGACAATCTTTTTTTTATCGTTGACATAGAATTGCATAGACTAGACGAAAGATAATAAAATAATATGGTAAGAACTCCAACAAGTAAAGATGAATACATAGCCTGAAAAGATAATCAAATCTAAGTTTCTTTATAGTTGCAAAGAGAACAATCCACCTCCTTGGGGGCTCAGCATCCTCGCTGGCGCACTACTCAGTGTTTCACTCTATACAATTTGTATACAATTTGCAACAGCCCAAGATAACCTCCCGTATATATTGCCTGTTTTCCCTCATTACTTATTGCAATCAACCTCACGATACATATTCTTATACTTCGTTTCGTTCCCATCTCAAACCAATGTGAGATCTCACAATGGCCTCCTCATTTTGAGACATTATATCTTTGGAGTTGAGCACGGTAATAAAGAAGGAAAACATAAAAACTTGGGTACACAACATAATACTACCCTCATGATTAGACCATAACACTTGACAATTGAGGTGTGTAAGAACAAAAGGTACGATTCTATTGTCCAAGGTTGTTCATCCAAAGTTTAGGATAAAGAATAACATTAAAGTTCTAATGGTAGGGAAGGATGCCCGTTCCCAGCTTACCTCACTCTGAGGTCGGCCAAGCGTGCTCACCATCTATAGTTATGAACAAAAATACTGGATGAACACTGACATAAGCAGTAGAAAACAACAAGTTATGTGAAAAATAACACCCAAAAGTAAACAAATGAAAAAACTTATAAGACTCGTTTCAGAGACATATCGTCGAACACCTTACAAGCATAAACAAAAAACTCGCCAAAAAACAGAATGCCATCTTTCGTATCTTCTCTCAAACAACAGCAATGCACTACCAGAAATCCAAACCCATTAGAACATAAAAACAACCCCACCTGAAGCTTGACTCAACATTCAGATCCAAACAAAAAGTTTTAAGTCTCAGAGACATTCATCAAACACCTTACGAGCATAAACCAAATACTAACCGAAGCAACTAAAATCTTCAACAAAAAAGGGAAAAAAAAAACTTCCATCTTTCTCATCTTCTCACACTTTTAATAGCAGAAATCCAAACCCCATTCAACCAAATCCCAAAATGCAATGAGCGCAAAAAAAAAAAAAAAAAAAAGTTTTTGAGCCTGTCAGACTGCCCATGCGACCATCCCAGCCGTACCGTATCGGCCAAGAACGATCCTCTACAGCCGCAGGACCTAAAGTCCGTTGAGCCGTTAATCACGCTCTAGTCGCAGGGCAGTGGTTCATCCACCAGACTTTGGTTCTTGTCTCCTTAGAACTCAAGGACACAGTTGTACAACCTATAGAACAGATCCTGTTCAAGTAAGGTCGTGCCCTTTCAGCTTCCTCTCTTCGTTTAAATATTATTAATTCAAGGTGACACTTCCCGATGTGGGATATGACTAATCTGGCGGCTGACTAATGTATCTATATTATTTATCGGAAAATGTTTTTATTTTTTAAAAGAATTTCCCTATATATTTTCTCTCTCAATAATTAGCGTGTCACTTTAGGTCAAATTTATCCAGTAAATAGTATTAAATATCATATTAAATCATAATTAAAAGTTGAATTAAATTATTTTTTTGGCTAAATTTGTGCAACTTTTTATCATACATTAATTTATAAAAATAAGATTAATTATAAATTTAAAAAATGCCTAATAAATTTTAAAAGTTTCAATTTTGGGTTTAATATGTTTTTGGCTTTAATGATCGTCTAATATAATTCTTAAATTTTATTAATTTTTTGATATATTAAAATTAAATGAAATGTTCTTTTTTCCTCGTGGACACCCGACCACATAGACTACTATATTTGAAAACGTAACTTTTAGTGTTGACCGATGGAACCCGAGATTTTGAGTCTCGCGTGTCTACCATTTAATTGGGAGAAAGTTGAAATTTAGCAATGTTCGTTCTTATGGCTTGAACAAATCTCATAAATACTAAACTTCGAAACTTTAAAAAGCATAGAAACCACAGGACCAAACTTGTAATCTAATCTTAAAAGTAATTCTAAGTTTTCATGGTGTTCGGGTTACGTAACGGCTCGTTTCGGGGTAAAAAAAAAACAAAAACAAACCAACAATGGAAGATCCAATGACTGCCAAAAATGAACAACATTTCAAGTCTGTAAAAAGAATCAGTACCCGAAAAGAAATGAGAAAACTGTCTAAATTTCAAGAATTATGACACAGACTTCACAATATTATATACATAGCAAACATTCTATTAATAAATTATTTTCGTTTTTTGTGTGTGTAAAATAGAGCAAGCTATGAACTCATGAAGAACAAGAAAGCATACGAACACCTGGCCGATACGCCCAGGCTGGGGGTAGCCGTGCATATTTCTCCATTCCTGGCTGCTCATCATATGGCCGTTCCATTATCTTCAGCAGCCGACGAACCTCTCCAAAATCACCCTGTTCAGCCGCATCTATGGCACTCTGGCATAGGTAGTTCCTCAGGATATATTTAGGATTTACTGCATCCATAGAGGCCTTCCTTTCCTCATCTGAAATGCCGCTTCCAGCAAGCTACAAAAGCAATCAAATACTTAGTAAGTTTTGTAATCAAATACTTAATAAGATCAACGTAACGTAAGAGGTTTGATGTGAAATCCCACGTTGGTTGGGGAAGAGAACGGAACATTATTTGTAAGAATGTGGAAACCTCTTCCTAGCAACCGCGTTTTAAAAGCCTTGAGGGGAAGCTCGAAAGGGAGTCCAAAGAGGACAATATCTGCTAGCAGTAGGCTTGGACGGTTACATTTGACCTCTCCAATGCAAGCTTTCTTACTTGCATGCGAAGTCCATTCCCTCTCTCCCTCTCAAATATACACGCCAACCCGTCCTTCCAATGACTGTAAGCTTACGGCAGTAACTAGCATTACAGCTACTGACCGTTAACAGCTAGCTAACCGCCCCAACTACAAATCCCGATACAGCAAACACGACAAACTATTGACTGCCAAGTGCCAAGCTTACTCCTAGTTCAGGTAAACCAACTGAAGCTACCAATTATAGCCTTAAAATGGCAATTTCATTAAGAAGGGTATGAATTCTTAAATGAAAAAACATACATGATATACATCAGGCAATGCAAGAGAAAGCCAAACCAAGAGAAACCAAGACAAAAACAAAAGTTGTGGATATATGTTCTTCTAGTCATGTTGGATACTTTTTTGTTGGACTTGCGCATTTCGGCATTTTATTTATGAATTTGGAGTTTTTTAACCCACTAAGTTTGCGTATTACCGTATAATAAACTAGGAGGGGCAGGAGGGAAACTTTCTCACCAGTTGGTTAGAAGAGTCGGGAACGAGGGAGGACAACGTAGGGAGTGTTGGGGAGGTTGCAAGGCAGTATATATTGAGGAACAGTGTGGTTCATTCTCTACATTTTATCTACTTCAGAAAGCTTAGGGGAGGGGAAAGGTTTTCCACCCTCTGATCAGCCTTGGGAATTCATTTCTTGGTTATTAATACACCTTAAGGGCATACCTTACCGTATAATAATTTTAAAAAATACAAAAAAAAACAAAAATGAAGGGCAAGCTGAGATTGGGAATGAAATTAAAATAGCTCCATAATTTGTATCAGTTTCCAGATACTTGAATCATCTAATGGTTATGCCAACATTGCAGATAGACATGCAAGTTATGTAACTCATAAATGTGAAATCCATAGCGATGCAAGAGATTCACAATGTTCGACTCAGAACCGACATGTTGATGAGCTGAAACAAGATTTTAAAAAAGGAATGCAAACGAACACAAGCAAAACAAATCAGAACCAAAGAAGAAACAGAAATCTGCAAATGTTTCAACTTTTACGTTTCAACTGCTATTTTTTAACGATCAAATATTTTTTGTTACTGTACCTCCTCTATGTAGGTCTTGACCCAGCTAGCCCAAGCTTCCTTACGTTCCTTCCCAATATCTAATAGAACTGCCTTCAGAGGGACCAGCAGCTCCTTCTCTGGGATGCTAGGATCAGCTTTGACATTGGAAAGTAATCTAAAGAAATTTGTGTAATCAACCTTGTCAACAGCCATGTTGTTGAGAAGCTTGCCGATTAACTGCTTATTGTACTTTGGCAAACCAAGTTTCTTGGTCATTATTGATTGATAGTCATCCATAAATTTGTCTCCATATCTGTAAGAGGAGAGCGGAATGTCATAATATGAGTGCAATGAAAGGTCAACAAATCTTGAACGGATAAAAGTTCGATAAAGAAAAACCACCTTTCCATGGCATAGTTGGCTTCTTTATCATTTATTAATCCAGCGGCTGAGAGAGTCGAGGCAAACTGGGCTATATTCCATAAGCCTATATCTGGCTGATTTGCAAAACAATATCTTCTGCCCGGAAGATCAGTTGTATTAGGCGTAAAACTAGGATCAAAAGCATCCAAAAATCCAAATGGACCATAATCAATGGTAAGACCCAAGATACTCATATTGTCAGTGTTGAGTACGCCGTGTGTGAACCCAACCCCCTGC